CCCCTCCCACGGGCAGGGACACCTTCCACTAGAGCAGCTTGCTCCAAGCCCCTGTGTCCAACCTGGCCTTGAACACTGCCAGGGACGGGGCAGCCACAGCTTCTCTGGGCACCCTGTGCCAGCGCCTCAGCATCCTCACAGGGAAGAGCTTCTGCCTAAGAGCTCATCTCACCCTCATAGTAAAGAACTTCCTAATGTCTAATCCCAATCTCCCCTCTTTCACTTTAAACTTCCAATTCAAGCAGCGACGACACTCACATTGCGGGAAGCAAGGATCTGCTTGAGCAGTCGGTAGAAGTACTGCTGCTGAGCGCTCAGGTACCGCTTGTACTGCGACTTCAAACAGAGCTGCCGGTACTTCACCACTTCGGGATTGAAGTGTCCATCTGGAAGAGGTAAAAAGCACCCCAGTTCCTCGCCACCAGCTGAGCCATGAACCCCGACAGCACCCGGTGTTTGCTACACTCACTGACCACGGAAAAGCTTCTGGGCGATGTGGAGCGGGTTCCCGAAGCGGAAGTTTTCGCCGCTGAACAAGGCGGTGATGAGCTTGTTCTGGTGCTCCCGGTTGTTCTCAGGGAAGCGAGGCAGGAATTTCTTCAGGTGCTCTCGCTGGGCATCCGTCAGCACCTCCTGCCACGTAGACAAGCTGATGACTTCGAAGAAGATCTCGGGCTAAAGAAAGCCGAAAACAAGAGTGAAGGAAATGAGTCGATGTCCTGGACAATTCTCTAGCCCTCGAGGCTCTCTGGGGTGAAGCAACAGAAGTTACAGCAGCGTCTCACCAAACACAGAATACAACAGGGCATAAAGAGAAAAGAGAAGGAATTAATGATACTAATAGCAACAAGACAGTCAACTCAAAACCAACAGTACTTTCTTCAAGGCAATTTTAAAGTAAAGGAGATTGTCACCTAGAAAAAGAATGCATCAGAACAGTATTAAAAGATGCTTTCATAGAACCAGAATCCCAGACTGGTTTGGGTTGGACAGGACCTTAAAGCTCATCCAGTTCCAACCCCCTACCACAGGCAGGGACCCTTTCCACTAGAGCAGCTTGCTCCAAGCCCCTGTGTCCAACCTGGCCTTGAACACCACCAGGGATGGAGCATTCACCACTCCTCTGTGGTAAAGAGGTGCCTCAGCACCCTGACAGGGAAGAACTGCCTCGGATCTAACCTGAACTTCCCCTGTTTCAGTTTGAACCCATCACCCTTGTCCTATCGCTACAGCCCCTGATGCAGAGCCCCTCGCCAGCATCCCTGTAGCCCCCTTCAGATACAGGAAGGCTGGAGCTCTTCCCCAGGCCAGTCAGAAACAATCCCTTCCTCCCAGTTTGCTGTAAGCCCCATAAGAGAGAATTAAACACATTCATGAAGGCTCTGTGGAGATAAAGCACCGCAGCGCTACTCACATCCTCCAGAAGGTCCTCAGGCAGGCTGACCCTGGTGGTGCCCAGCATGCAGTCCTCCATGATGCGGGTCCTGCTTCCATCTCCGCAGGGTCCCAGCTCCAGGGGGTCGGTCAGCATGTGATCCAGGGAGTCCATGCTTCACCCTGGCCTGCTCCTGAGCAACGGCAGTGAGGCCTTCAACAACCCGAAGTAGCCTACCGCAGATGAGGAACGATAGAGAATGTGCTTATTTAAAGGCAAGGGCGCTGAGATAACTAAGAGATCATAAAATGAATGCAACTGCTCCATTGCAACACCAGTCAGGCAAAGAGTGCTTCACAGTGTGAGGCATGCCCTGGGACAGGCAGACTGGGAAGCAGAAGTGACCCCTTTCACTTTGATTCCCACCTTCAAGCCGTTACCGACAAAGAACAGGAAATTAACAGATGTAAAGCCTCAAAACTGTTGTCAATAGAGGTAAATAACTGATAAAGCGATATTAATGTGCAAACCCGGCTTCTCCAGCGTTCAACTTGCACCCATGAGCCCCGTCCCCCTCACGCACCACTGACACCGCCGCACGAACCGCATTAAACGGACGCTGAGAGCAGGGCCGGCAACCGGATAACCCCCCTCATTCCATCCCCGCTACCCCGGGGACTCTCACAGCACCAGCACCGCGGTCACCTCCTCACCAGGCCCGGACAGCAGCGGGAGAGGCTCCGGAGCTCCGCGGCCCAGCCCCGGCTCCCCTCAGCCCCGGTCCCGAGCACTGGCGGCGCTGAGGGGGGGGCCTGGCCCGCACCGGAAGGCGGGCGGTCACAGCGCATGCGCAGTGGTGCTCCTCCCACCGCGCCTGCGCAGGGCGCAGCCCCGCTTCCTCCTTGTCGCGACAGAGAGCGTCGCGATAGGGCAAATCCCCCCCTCTCCTCCCCCCATCGGTTTTGGGCCAAGTGAAGAGCCGTGATTGTGGTTTGTAGCAAAAAAACCGGGGGGAAAGGTTTATTAATGGGGGGGTTTGTACAGCTGCGGGGTTGCACAAGACGATGAGCACGACAACGGTCACCACTGTACAGTAACAGACACAGTTAAATAAGAGGGGTGCGACGTGGGGGGGGGCTCGGTTGCCATTGGCTTCGTTGGTGGGAGAAGGGTGTATTTGGACCCAAAAATGCCACGGTCCAGCAAGACCTTTGGTGGCAAGCACACAGGTGGAGTCCAGCACTAAACTCCTGCGGGAGAGCAGGGCCAGGTTGGGGTTGCTCTGGTTTAAAGGTAATAGTAAATCCTGTCCTTTCTGCACTGCAGAAATGGGGGTAATCCATGCACTGTTGTCTGCGTCCATGGTGGTGGTGTCTTTCTAGGAGTAAGTCCATGGCGTTGCTTTCATGTCTGTCTTTGGAAGGTAAATTCATCGTATTTCCATATCCCGGGATGCTGCTGTGGCGACGAGGCATGTGTTTAACACGGGACACCATGACTTCCTTAATGGATTGCCTGGCTGATGGCATGAGTGTGCTGCTGTTGCGGTGGGACAGAGTAGAAAGTTTGATAAGGAAGACTGGAGTGCAAAGAGGCTGGTTTAGGATTGGGTTTAGCCTTTTAGGGTAGTTCACAGCTTTAAACAAGTGTCCTCCTGTGATTCTTTCCAATAAACATGGATAAAGCAAAACAGTTTTTACACCCCTCATCTCCAATACCATTAAGGCAAACTTGTTTGATGTTACAGACTTGTACACCTTTAAAACACCTCTTGTAGTGCAGTACCCCATTCCCAAGTCTCCTATTTTCCTGCTATTCACACCATTTCTGACTTGGTACAAGAGCACATAGCAGCCTAAAGAAAGCCGACACAAATCTCCCTTCTATTCGCCCACACCAACATCATTGCAATGCCCAGCATTGGAATTCCACAGTCCTCAGGAACATGACTTCATTGGATCAGCAGGAACCACGCTCAAATTGATGGGCTCCCAGATGTGCTGCATTTAAAGATACTGATCACTGTGTTTGACTAAATGGAAGCTCATGGACTTCTCCAGCCTCAGTAATGCCCCATACAGTGGTACAGCAAGAGAAGTGAAATCCCAGGAACAAGTTAATCCATAGTTTAGCAAGTCACCTCAAAGCTCCCTCAAAACACCTCTGACTGGCCAGTGTTCTCCATGTGATTTATCTCCTCCACACCATATTAATAGATGTGTTAAGTACCAAAAGCAATACCTGCTACAAGGCTTTGCCCAGAAGAAACCAAACTTCCTCTTGTCCAGTCCAACTGTGAAGCTCCCAAGGAGCTTCAACTCCATCAGGGCTGATCCCACAACATCTGTGGAGCTTGCCCACATGTGTAATCCTCTAGATCTGGAGTACTTAGGTCAAGGAGTTGCACATTCACACTCTGTGGCACAGAGAAAACGAACCCAGAAAACCTCTCTCACTCCTTCAGTCTCACAGGCCATAAAGACAAAAGATCCTTCTTTGTGTTTTATAAATACACTTATGCTGTTGTGCACAGACAATCTGGGATGAGTTTTCAAGCAGTGACTGGAGGTTTAGACAGACACAGTACATCCCATCAGGAGTCAATGGAGTTGTAGTTCTATTTTTGCACATATCAGAATGCATTAAATAACCAACAAATAAAAGGATTATGGAAGAAAAAAATGATAATTACACTGCCTTAAAAAGATAAACCTGCTCTTTCCCTTTCTCCTGGTCCTTAAGCATGGCATGAATTCTGTACAGAGACCAGGCCTACCAAAACAGGCAACCCTCAGAGATGGCTTTGTGTCCCATAAACAGTGGTCCACTAGCATGTTTCTTGTATGCTTCCTGAGTCCAGGGCTGGTCATCTTATGGAAATGTCCAAAGAAATTACACTGCATTGTTAACAAGGCTTTTTGGGGAAGAAAACAGAGTAACCAACTCTCCATACAGACTTCAAGGGGAAAAATGGTAACGAGATAACTACCCTCCTCTTTAGAGGTGTGCTTCTGCACCCTCATGTTCTCCTGGCACAGCTACCTTTAGGTTACAGCAGAAGCTGCTACATAGGCTAAGCTGAACCCTTTTTGTCTGTTCTAGTGGGCAGAAAGGTGTTTTTCCCTGCAAATACTGGAAGGGAAAAAGAGATAACAGTGGCTCTGTACTACCCTTACGTGCTACTACAATCTCCATCAGTTTGCTCCAAACAACATGGGTTTAAGACTGCACTTTTCCTTCTTTTGGAAGGTGGTAAACTAGGGTAGGGCAGGCAGCATGTAAACAGTTCTTGAGGGCTGGAAAAACGAGAATAATAATTTAATGGACTGCTTGGGCACATCTTCACAGCTTCATTGTTACATCCATCCCCTCACATGGACACTTGGCTGCTGCTGCTCTTTCTCTCCAGGCAGCCTGCTCGCAGCGAGCAGATTATGTTCCCTTTCACCCTGGCTGCTGAAATGAGGACATTGGAAGCGGTTCTGCCCTATTCTGGCTATTTACATGGTGGCCTCCTCTTTAACAGCTCCTAGTAAAAATATACATACATCATCAGCCAGTTAGCCTTCCATTAGGGAAGCTTTTTCCCCATACAACTGAAGTAACAGGTTGTTTACTGGGAGACACTTCCGAAAAGGAATGCAGACATGCCCAAAATCAAGTCCAGAGCAAGCAGAAGTTTTACTTCTCCTCTTGTCCTTTTTGTTAAAAGTTGCATAAAGTAATGACCCAGAAGGATTTTGAGGGTACTTCTTCATGGTCACCAGGGACTTGAACCCTCTTAAAGCATAACAAGAGCTCCAAGATTTTAGTTGAAGTGAGCATATACTTTAAACCATATTTAACCCCAGCATACCCACAGATCTGGGCTCGGGGGGAGGTGACAAGTACAAGCAAGAGACACCAGAAGGCTTCTTCATTCGTGTTCTGCTGAGAAAGTTCTGGGTTTAGAGATGTGCACCTCGCTGCCGCCGCTGCCGTTGGTGGTTGTAGTGATGATGTACTGGGTGGTGGGCTGCTGAGTGCTTGTTTGGGATTCCAAGGTATCCGTGGGCACTGCGGGCTGGGGAACGCCGACCTGGACCTCACTGGGGAGCGAAGAGTTTTGTTTGGCTTCCAGATCAGGCTGACCTTCAGATATCACATAGTGAGTCTGCATGGGGAATATGGAAAATCATCATCATTGCATCTCATCTAAGTTCCCTGCTCTAATCATCTGTAGCTTTCCTGTTGCTGTGCTGGAGACATTTTGGTATGAACTTGGAAATCAAGTTTTCTTTCATTTAAACATACCCAAGAACAACCTAACACTTGTCCTTTGTTTGCAAGTACATTGGGCTACTTTGTATTTGGTTAGCTTATCAATGGTTAAGCTAATGATGCAATCAACCCATCACTACAAGTTATAACAGCCATTCTTAATACTAAAAGTTCTCTGTTCTCTACATGCTATACAAGTTGCATTCCCAGTATCACCCAGAACAACCACCTGCCTCCTCATGCTAGATTGCTTACAAGGTAAGACAGCAGTGACTCAGTCTGTAATCCTACAGGTAACAGAAAGCTGGCAAAATTATTCTCTGCTCTGTGTGCCCCAATATTCACTTTGGCATCTTTTTACCCTTCAAACTGCATGCTTAAAGCCTGATACATGATTCTGGATTAAGAAAACCCAAAAAGGCCACGATGGTTCTTCTTACCTGAGTAACTGCTTTCACTTGCCCCGTGTTGACAGTGGTGACTGGCGTACCTACAGCAGTCTCTGTGATCACGTACTGGCCTTGGGGAATGGTCATCATCTGGATCTCAGATGCTGAAAATGGAAATTGCAGAATCAAGACCTTCAGTCAAACTCAGAAGACCACCTTGAAAGGTTTTATCTTATGTCAGTAGCATATCAATCCTGAAACAGGTACTGTAAAGCCTTGTAGAACTCTACAGACCTCAAGAGATTCAGTGCCAGCTAACATGAGCTGCAGATTTGGCAATTCATTCATAGACAACACATCCTGTTCTCACCTAAATCACTGAATTACCGCCCAGAGCTGCATGGACATGAGGAATAGTTTCATCATACTCTCAATTTCATCCAAATTTGAACTAGTCCCTACCAAAGACATGCAGTCTTGCTGAATACAACATCCTTGGAATAAAGGAGCCCAGTCTGCCTGCTCAAATCACATACCAGGTCATTGTGGAGCTACAGTACAACTGCTACTACAACCACTTTCATTTGTCTGAAACTATTTCTCTCCTTAGATGTGTATAAATATTAATCACAAATCTTAATGAGCTCTGAAAATACTATCCCATTTGGTAGCTGGAGGAATGGAGCACATCTTAGTCCCATATGTTACTCAAATGCTTAGTGAGAGCTGCTGCTGCCACTTACAATAGCTCCGAAACGAGTTCCACGTGCTGGGAAGATACGTGTGCTGGACTGAAGATCCCTGCTGCTGCTGCTGGAGGGCTTGGGTTGGTGTCGATGTAGCTGTCTGCATCTGTGAGGGGCTGAGCTCCTGCTGAGACTGTTGTGAGGAGGGACTCAAAGGCTGAGCCCCAACCTAGGAAAGGTAAAAGCATTTACAGTGTAGTAAGTGACAAACATATCTTGTTTTAGTAAGGGAAAACATGGGGGCAGGTTCTGTAGCATATCCTATGTGACTCCTTGTAAGAAGGGAGGCTCATCTCCTTTCTAGCCACCCTTTAAATACTACAACATGGTGATAAGTTCTCCCTGCAGCCTTCTTTCTCCAGGCTGAACAAGCCCAGTTCTCTCAGCCTTTCCTCACACAGCTTCCCAGTCCTTGGATCATCTTTGTGGCCCTCCTTTGGACCTTGTCCAGCCTGTATAAGTCAGGACAAAAACTGAACCACCACCCTCAACAGCATGGAGAGCTTCAAGTATTTGAGGAATGCCAGTTTCCATTTACATCTTTCCATTGGCTACGTTTAAGTTGCAATACCTGTGCTGATGACTGAGGTGCTGCCGAAGGCTCTGTGACCTGGATGTGCTGCACCTGGATAGCATGCTGGGTGTAGGTCTGGGGGTCGTGAAGCTGCCCAACGTCCACTGTGGAGTGCTGGGACTGGTGAGGTGAGGTAGCCTGGGAGGAAAATGGAGAAAACAAACATAAGAATACCAAAGCAGCAGTCCTGTAAACCCCTTCTGTGACACAAGCTCTGCAACAGGGAGCTATGAGCCTCAATGAGACCACAGAGCACTCCTGTTCAAGTCACTGTGTACCCTCTCTTTGCTCCTGGGAGATCAAGAAATACATTTAACAGATGTAATAGCATGGAGATGGTTACATCTTAAGTCACCCCGCTGAAAAGAACCTGCTAAGGGCATACAAGCTGTCAACCAGAGGGTCTGAAAACCAGGACCATCATTCTTTGTCAGGTTCTTTCTATAAAATACAGTCTATAAAATAGATAGATCCTCAAGATCTGCATATCCAGAACTGGTTTTTGGTACTGAGGACTCTTACTGATTAAAAGCTTTTTGGAGCAGCACCTGCTAATGATACCAATTGGTGTAATCTAATTACAGGTCTAAGATCTTGATAAAATTAATACTAGCAATCAGTATCCATGCTCTCGTATCATTACAACAGCCACTGTCAATATTAACTAGGGCCAGGCCATTATTTAGTCTTTATTAACCAAATTCATAACTTCATTTGTAATGAGGGGCCAGACAGAACAGGGAATTGCAGACTCAAATACAAACACGTGGTACTTTCAGCTTCACCCAGTGGATACCAGACTTGAAGGCTATGCCCATTCATTCCAGCTCCCCAAGTTATGCTCCTCAGCTCGGTTGCTCCAGTTACACTTTGGTGTTATTTGCAGGAGGCACAGAAAACTGATATTCTAATAGGTGACACAGAGGGGAAAAGCAAGCAGCTCTCTGTACTTCCACACTTTGGCTCTGGCTCACTGAGAACAAGGAAGGACAAATTAGTCTTCAAGTGCAAAAATGGGTCACCCACTGACCCACTTTCCCAGGTGCTGGAAAACCTTCCTAGAGCAGACTTGAGCAAAGCTGCCCCGATAGGCAGAACTAAACTGACATAGCACTTTAGTGTCCAGCAAGCAGACCAAGACCAGCAGGATTTATGCACAGTACACAATGCCTACAAAGGAAACCCTATGATCAGTTTATCTATGAAGAAGCGTGCATCACTCTTTGTAACTACTCCTTAACAAGCTTCTGAATGCTACAGCCCCAAGAAAGCAACGGGCTTGATACAGAGGGAGTCAGAAGCACATCAAGGCTACTCACCTGGGCCACTTGCACAACCTGCAGCTGTATGTGCTGAGGCTGCTGCAAGCCAGTTGTGGGTTGAGACACTGGGATGTACTGGATCCGCTGGTAATCTCCCTGGGGAGTCCGGTAGTCCGTGGTGAGGGTTTGGGATATCTCTGTCATTGCCTGGGTCAGTAAATCTGTTGTCTGAGCAGGCAGAGATACAGACCATCATCAGTTGACGTCATATTGTCAAGTGGATTGAGTACTTCCACAGGGCTGTAGTTCTTTTCATCACACCATTGGGCCTAGATGTTGATTTACAAGAGCTTAATGTGTACAGAGGATGGGGTCATAAGCAATCACCAGGAATTATCCACTAGAATCAGTCTCTTCTGTCTGAATGTGATGGTCAGGACCTTCGAGGACTGATTTATGCAATAATAATTAAAGAATTAAATCTTTTGACTTAATACTATGCTATTAGACAATAAAAATCCTGCATTTGTCAAGAGTTGACTTAGTTTTCGAGACAAAAAGTGCTTCTTGGATATACTCCCCCTTCCCTCCTCAGCCACCAGAGCAAGACTTTTCTTTACTGTATTGCCTAAGTGTGTAAAGACATTTGGCACTCTCAGGTTTATGAAGCCACCAGCATCCTGGTTGAATCTACCCATTTGAAAGCAGAACAGTCTTTTAGCCACTTACAGTCTTCAAACAGGAAGTTTTAAGTTGTGGTCAATGGGATTTTTAAAGCTATGCAGCATCCCAGCACTACTAATGAACACAAAGCTGATATTTCTAGCCTCAGCTTTCACTTCCATAGCAGCTGATGTATTAACAGTGAAGAGATCAGCTACTGGAGGTATGCATCAGCCCAAAAGTGTCCCTGCCCATGGCATGGGCATGACCTGGATGATCTTTAATGTCCCTTCCAACCCAAACCAGCCTGGGATTCTGTGACTACAGAGATCTTGTCTCGTCTGCACAGTTTGATCCAGTCATTACTAAACAGAAGCCACTCTTTCAAGTGGTGTGTGCCAAATAAACACTTCAGACCAGAGGGCATTGGGCTGTTTGTTTCCCTCTATTGGCCTCATTTAATGTGTTCCAAGTGCTTACCACAACAGTCTCTCCAGTAGTGCTGTCTGTGGTTAGCACAGCAGGAGTGGAGCTGATGACAGCCGTCGCCAGAGGTGCGTGGATCGTGTTTGGGAGCTGAGCAAACTCTGGGTGCTTCTTGCGGATGTGCTGGACCATCTTGGTCTGCAGAGAGATGCAAGAGAGCAGGAGGAGAATGGTAAGTATGCTTCAGGTCAACTGACATCAGAAACCATCCCGTTCATACAATCGTGGAATGGTTTGGGTTGGAAAGGATCTCATCCAGTTCCAATCCCCCTTGGACACCTTCCACTGGAGCAGCTTGCTCCAAGCCCCGGCATCCGACCTGGCCTTGAGCACTGCCAGGGATGGGGCAGCCACAGCTTCTCTGGGCACCCTGTGCCAGCGCCTCAGCACCCTCACAGGGAAGAGCTTCTGCCTAAGAGCTCAGCTCAGTCTCCCCTCGGGCAGGTTCAAGCCATTCCCCTTGGCCTGTCCCTACATCCCTTGTCCCAAGCCCCTCTCCAGGTTTCCTGCAGCCCCTTTAGGCACTGGAGCTGCTCTAAGGTCTCCCCTTCAGGAGCCTTCTCTTCTCCAGGCTGCCCCAGCCCAGCTCTCTCAGCCTGGCTCCAGAGCAGAGCTGCTCCAGCCCTCGCAGCATCTCTGTGGCCTCCTCTGGACTTGCTCCAACAGCTCCACGTTCCTCTTGTGCTGGGGGCCCCAGAGCTGAAAGCAACACTCCACGTATGGTCTCACAAGAGTTGTTGGTCATTAGAGCTATCTGGTGCTGAAATGTTGCCCCAAATACCACAGCCTATAAGCTTTATACAGCCAAATCTTTTGGGGACCTTGTCCAGAGGTCACCTTTTCTGCATTTTGTTCCTCTACTCCTCTCCCTTGTAACTGTCAGTGAGGAATTTCCAAGCCTTTCCGTTTGTAACTGCACCCTGATAACATTACCATGTGTTCTTTCCAGTTCATTCCCTCTCTTTAGGGAATTATTTTGCCATAAAACAACGAGGCTGTGCCTGCATTGTCAGCAGGCAGCATGAAACCAGCACTGACTCAGAATGAGAGAGCTTTGCTTGTGGGCTGACAGATACCACAGTGAAAGAGCTGGTTTTTACACTCAGCTGTATAACAACCCTCATACCTTGCTGCTGTACTGCTTGGAACAGTGAGGACAGCAGACTGGAGGGGTGGCAATGGTGCCTGTGAGCTGGGTGTGGGTGCTCAGCATGGGATCTGGCTCTCCTGGGCCTGCAGGACGCAGCTTCCGGATGCTTGGAGGTAGCTCAGCACCAGGATGGTTCTTCAGGATGTGTGCTTTGCGCTTACTGGCACTCTTGTACACCTGCAGGGTAAAGATCTGGAGTGAAACTGGTGCAACCCTGAAGTCTGTAGAGAAAACAGCTACCAGTTATCCTTATTTGGAAGGTCTGCACGTCGCTTTAGATACCACATTTAGTTCAAGCCCCAAACAATTACAACATAATGCAGGAATATATGTTCACCTCCCAGTGTTTAATTAACCTGTAGAAGCAACTCTTTCTTGTGTAGCATGCAGAAGCCACTGGAGACTATGTCATATGCCTCACCAAAACATCAAAGCAGGACATCAAAGAGGAAAACCCTTTTTGCCCCATACCTGAAGGTCAAATGTCAGAGAAGCCACTGATCATCAAAGCTGTAATTTGTTCAATGTTAGGCTGTCGTGAGGGTTGATGCCTCCATTCTCACACCAAGCATCACACTATTTGAACAGCCTTTATTGATCAACATACTCTTTTTAGGCACATTGACAAATGAATGTTCTATAATATTACTTAAAACTATCTGGGTTCATTTCCCTTGAAACAAAAGGAAGGAGGCATCACAAAAGAATGATGACAGTCAAAATACACTCCCTGGTAAATAAAGGCCCACATGCATAAAAAGCAAAGGCCAGGGAATAAGAACAGGAACCCAAAAGCAGTGCAGGAGCAGCTTCAGGCTCCACTGAACACTGGGAATGACTGGCATGTGACTAAGCAGCTTAAAATAAAAGGGGTTAGAGGCTCACTTTTAGAACTGATGCAGAAACCAAAAGGAGTGAGTGTTCAGTAATTAATAGACAGATTTAGTACTTAGTCCTGGGCAGCAAAAAGTTATGCAGGTCTAAGGGTGAGTGACTGCTGGCTGGCTCATGGTATTAAGTGTTCCAACTCCAAAGACAGGGGAAGGAACTGTAGTTTTCAATTAGCATTCAGCTGCCTTGGCCTGAGTGCATTTCATCCCAATTCCTTTGTTTGGGCAGTACTGCAGGGATGTTGCAGGCAAGCACTCCAAAAGCAAGCTCCAAACCCTGCCAGATGTTTCTATGCAGAGATAAACTGGTTGCATATAGGTCTAGGACTGAGTTATCCTCCTATGTGTCTTCCTTACGTACCTTATCACAGTACTGACAGAAGTAATCTCTGTTGGGTTTGATGATGGGCAACGTGAGCTCTGGCACCTCTTCTATTTTCATGTCTGGATGTCTCTTTGATAAATGATTCACCTTAAGAGGAAGAGGCACAGAGAAAAAGAGAGTATTACAGCTGGAAGCTGAGGAATTGCTGCTTCTCCTCAACATGGCTAACAGCCAGACCAAAACTGTAGTGATGGTAGCCAACAGGACAGAAGCATTCGCTGCTGCAAGGGTTCTTGTGCATTCAGTCAGCTGCTGCAGGTCTTGCTAGGTCTCATTCACAGTTTAATCAAACTGAGATGGGAAGGGGTAGACCAGCTTGCCAGAACTCTTGCAGCAGAGGTAATGTAAAAGGGCTCTACCCAGGCAGGCCTTTGCTAGCTGAAATCACAACCCTCATGAAAGGGTTGTGCTGCATAACACCCTTTACACAGTGGCAGGTAGAGGGCATGGCCAGGAGAGGCTCCTCAAGAAGGGGAAGAAGCAAAAAATAGCAAGACACTGGGGAAAACTGAGGCAGTACAGCTGAACCAGGTGATACATTCATCTCATGTTCAGCCAGCATTACTTAGTGTTGAAATGGGATAGTGACAACCAAGCATACAGCAAAGGCACGCTTTAAAACAAGATGCATCATCTTAGCTCTGAAGTTCACCCAGTTTCACAGCATCCTTATGTTCCAACCATTGAAATCCCATCTTCATTCCTTAACTATGCATCAAACTGGAGAAGCTGGAAGGGAAACTGGAGCGCTCACCAACATGCCCCTGCGGCGGAAGCCCATCATGCAGAGTCTGCACTTGAACATGAAGCTCTCGTAGTCGGTGGAAGCGATCCGAGGCTTGAAGGTCTTGGAGCGGCTGATCCGATCCGCTTTCTTGGCCTCCCTCTCCGGGTTGTGCATCCTCTGCATGTGCTCTCGCAGTTTGTCCTTCCTCTGGGAAAGAGCAGTCAGGGAGGAAAGCATCAGCACTGCTACTGCCTTTACTACCTGTTACAAGAGCCACAAGGCGAGTTGCTCAGATATATATATATATCTCTTGGGCTCTCTCTGGTGCCATGAATTGGTTGCATTCCCAGTGTTGTCCCAGCAGGAACCCATGTGGGTCTACATTTAGCCTTCAAGCCAAGCTGAGGTTGCTCAGCCACAAAAAAAGGAGCCAAACCAATGATAATTTAGTAGCCTCCACTCTGGCTTTCCTTTGAATTTATCTAATATATTAGTGCTTAACTGAGTATGGCTGGAAACTTGCATCTAATAATGCTCTTGCCTGAGGACCTCACATCCTACCACAGTACTGAACCTACTGCCTGGGTGCAGTCCAGCCTTTCTGGAGACACACACACTGTCCAGAAAGTGCTTCTTCACCCCAAAGCATCCAGTCCCTCAGTATCCCATACGAAACCAAGCGACAAGTAGCAGGCTGCTGCCACCACAGTCTTCCTGGCTCACAGTCTGCTCCATGTGTTCTGGTGGGATCTGGAAGGGCATCTGGATGTCCTGTGCTGACAAGATGGATGGCACAGACGCAGGCATCTTGGCCAGGAATATCACTCCTGGTTTCAGCAAGAGGTTTCCTAATATCAGCAAGAGCTTTTCTTAACTAAACTAAGCAATACAACCCAAGCACCTGCAACTGAGCGGCATAATGACCCAGTTCTTCATGAGCAGATGGAAGTGCCCTTTCCTACTATATTATTAGAAGTCAGATTTGATAGGTGAGATGCTTATGCTAGGGTGAATCCTGCCCCTTGCCCATCAGAAATCAGTGTTGTCACTCCCATATGACACAAAGCAGCACACGCAGCTTCCACATGTCCGTTTCATCCACCTTGGAGAACACGAACCCATCTGCTTGGAGCAGGGTAAAGAATGGTGCTCAGTGAGGACTCCCTTTACCTTGAACTGCTTGCCACACGTGGAGCAGAGGAAGTCTTTGCGGTCCGAGTGGCGCAGCATGTGGAGGCGCAGCTTGTCCGGGCGGCAGAAGGCTTTGTCACACTCTGTACACTGGTAGATCTTCTCCGAGTGGAAGCTGCGGACGTGCTTCTTCACCTGCAGTGGCAGAGAGTAAAGAGGAGTCATTCAGAAGAGAGGAGTACGTGGGAAAACAGTGCAGGAACTCTTAGCACGAAGGAAGAAGGTTGGAACAGTTCTCCGATCTGCTTTGGTTTATAAAGTGCTTTATTGGAACAGTTGATTCCTTGGCAATTGCTTCCATAAAGCCAAAGCGTTTGTATTATGCATCTGGATGGATAAGTTGATTTCCTCAAGACTGATTCCTGAAGCTGTTGTATCGCTGGGCACTTAATAGGTGGCCAAAGACCACCATGTACCAGTTTTACTGCGTCATCCTTGAGTTACAGCATTTATCTGAGGTTCCTTATCTTCATTTATAAGAAATCTAAACACAAGGACCAATTCCTTTCCACCAGAATGGCAATTCCTTTGGTGTACTGTCCCTGACCCATCCAGTATTTTGGGTTTTCCCCACCTCCAATAAACTAATGAGGTTTGACATTTCAAATCCAACCACTACTCAATATACAGATCCCTAATTAAATCCTTGCTGTCTCCTAGTACTTATCTGAAGTGGAACAACTTGGTATCTGTTCCACATCAAAGTATTCAAGTAGGCAGCAGTCTGTGGTGACTAGACTTTATGATTCACATAGCACCAGCTGATAAAATAAGGTTTAATCTCCAAAATAGATCTGAATTGCTGGGAAAAAAGCCATAAAGCCATGGGATATCCTTCTGGCTTGATCAGTTCCACAGGAAAGTTCATGGGGCATTAGGCTGCAGTACAGCAGTTCTGAATCATCCCTGCTCCTTGTTCAACCATTACAGAAAAGGGGTTTTGCCAGGATGGAGTTAGGTTAGTAAATGACTTTTCTGCATCCGTTCCTCTCTAACCTATTGGATAGTCTATCAGCTTCTACTGATTTAAACTGGATTTCTATTTAAATCAGACAGCCCAGCAAAATTTCTCAACCTTTACGTCCCTAGGAAGGGCAATGAATGTGTGTGCATGGTACCACTCAGTTCTTCCTTCCTGAACATCAAAATAGCGTCTTGGAATTCTGTTAACCATCTTCTGCAATGGCTCTGCACACTGCACAAAGTCATTCCTTTACTCACTACTGCAGAGTGCAGGGAAGAAGAATAAGCTCCCCACCTGAAGCCAAGGGAGAAATCAGGAAGCAGAATATCCTGATCTGTTCTGGTGTCTCTGCAAGGATGCAAGTGAATTATCCTGACAGAAGCAGGCAAAGGATTAAAGACTTAATACCACCATTTGTTTTGCTTCAGAGTCTGAATGACAAAGGACAAGGGATATTGAAGCACATGCAGAAAGACGATTCCTTTTTGTGCCAAGGATCTGCACTGATCTAAAGTAGTCAGGACCTCTGGTTTGGGAATCTTTGGAGAATAAGGAACCACTCTTCCTGCAGTGCAGCGCCAGACTGAGGTACTACATCTGATCATGTAGCAGAAAGAGCACTGCAGGGGCATAAGACAGCATCTAACAATGCTTGGTCACTCTTCCTTTTTAATTTCCAACTGAGGTGGCCCCCTTTATCTTGTGAGAATGAACTGACATGCAGCAGGACCCAAGAACAGCACTGCAAAGCTCACAAACAGAGTGCTCACAAGGAAGGCATCTCACCTGGATGAAGTCTGGAAAGCGTTTCTTGCAGGTAGGGCAGGTGAAATAGCCATCGTTGACATGGATGGCCACGTGGTCTTTGAGCAGATCCAGGCGGTCGAAGGACTCGGGACAGAAGATGCAGGAGTACGTTTTCTGGTCCATGTGGAACTTCATGTGGCTCTCAAGAGCCCCACTGTTGATGAAGCCCTTGTTGCAGATGTCACAAGTCAAAGGGCAGTTCCCTTCCCGCCCGTGGAAGCGGAGGTGCTGATCCAGTTTGTCCTTTTCCCTGAAGGCCTTCCCACACTGGAGGCATTTGAAGGGGCGAAAGGATTTCCGGATGAAGAGGTGCTGGAGAGCTGCATTCTGCAGGAAACAGAGCCTGTTGTTATTATCTATAGATTTCACATCTATTTTCAAGGTTAAATATACTTCAAAACCAAAATGCTTTCATGTTATACTGTCCCCATTTCACATAAGCGGAGGCTGTGACAGGCAGAACTTAAAGGATAAACCTGCAGTTCCACATCATTAGGAGCACACAAAGCAGGAGTTTCCTCTCCAATCCCTGTTTCCTGCCCATTTTTGTCTTTAGCATGGCATTTTCCTGTAAAATAAAACTAAGTCCCCTCTGAAGTACACACCTGGCCCCTAAAAATCAGCATCTGCACCCACAGAGATGTGCAGCAGTGGTTTAGCATTGCCTGGAAAGCTTCTGGTGGAACATACATTCAAGAGATGCTAGCTTAAAGCTTTCTGTTACCATCCAAAAGAATAGACTCCAAAAAGATTCCAGCAAGGGCAGAATGGCAGGTTTCCCAGCAATGGCTAAGAACTTGTGAGCAATTTGCCTGTCTTTGCCGCTGAGCATCCATCATATGCTAGAGCTTGAAAATGAAGAAGAGAGATGAAAGAAACAAAAGCGCTAAATCAAGAGGAGCTCTGATAGATTCTGTTGTCTGCTCAAAGGACAGTTGATTATACACAGTCCAACTTGAAATTGCTTTTCTTGGTATTGCAAGAAACAACAAGAATATGGTGAATGGAGCATGATGGGCTTTATGTGAATATTCATCTTCAGGTTTAATGTTCTGGGCTGCTCTTCTCTGTTTTTTTCCACCCCTACTGCACACAATTTCTCTTCTTAGCCCCTGCTTTGCTTTGGTGCGTGCTTTCCTTAGGTCTACCTTTCCTGTATCATTCCATGGTTCTTATCTCTTCCTTTTCTCCCCTTCAGATGAATGTTATAGAGTCCCAACACTAGCACTGTCTGCTGGAGGAACAGATGCTGCCTGTAGAAACAAGCAAGTGTGGCCTGCACCTGCATTCCAGTATTGGATGAGGATTTGTACGTGGCAAAGTTGGAAGCCTGTCCTACCTCTGCATGCACGAAACCCCACAGCATGCTATCACCAATTGTGTACTGAAAGCACACTGCAAGAAGTCTATGGAATATCTGCTCTTCTCCAAACTAAGATCTATACCTCATCTTTTACTGTTGTCTTCCCTTTTCAAGTGTCACACACAGAGCCTGCATGATGATAGTTCAGAGAAATAGCACCAGAATCTCCCTGGCACCTGTGCTTGAACACATGCAACGTTACACACTTCAAGAGATAGGTGCCAGAAATCTGCAAACAGATTTCCCTGTTCCCTTTCTCCTCCTCTGGTGACAATGTCTGGGCTGACATGTGCTGTGTCTCTTAAGTGTGTGCCAACAGCTGACACGGAGAAAGGAAAGTCAGGAGCAAGTCTGCTGGAACGAGAACAGCTTGGGAATACTGTGAAGTGCTGTGCTAGAGATTATATTAGTGAACCTGAATGATCCTTTGCACCATCTGAACTGCAGAGGGAAACCTACACTTTCATTCCAGAAAGAGGAAGATGACAGCAACTGGGTTTGTTGCTGAATTGTCATCATCTCCGTTCTCCATTTTACCAGGGGAGAAGCAAGGACAATGGGAAATAGATGGATCTGCTAAGTCACACCACGAGTGAGGAAGACAGGCATGTGCTGGGTGAAAATTCATGTGTTGCTTGGACTCAGAAATAGGTAGTTTACCCCTTAACTAGACAGACATGCTAAGAAAACAAATAGTTGAAGAGATGCACTTCAAGTTCTTAGCTCCACTATTACCATACTTTGCTATCTGATCACTGGTAAGGTACCAGGATCTGACTGGTGAGATTTCTATACCATGGAAATCAACATAGTCCCATTGCTATCTCAGAGGCTACAGAAGGGTGAAATGTTTTACTGCTTTTTGGTTAAATAAGCTAGCAGCTATTACAAAGAACAGAAAAAGAACTAAGTATTGTCTCATCACCTGATAACATTGATCCAGTGCAAACAAGTGCACAAACAGATCCTCCCAAAGTAAGATGGTCATTATAGTATTTCATCCAGCAGTTTACACCTATAATATTCACCTTAAACTTGCAATGAATTAGTATGGAAAGAACTAGAAGAATGCAAATTGTTATTCAGTTAACACTTAGTTCTGGACATTGGTTGCTTGAAGAAGAACAAATGTGACAATTTACAATGGGGAGGTCAATAAGGAAACACTAAACAGAAGCTGGACAAAACAACACGGAGGATGATGTTGCCATGTACCATTCCATTAGATACAGCAAAAACCCAAACCAAACCTACCTGCAGCTCCAGCTGAGCAGGCAGCATTGAGGGAGAGAAAAATAGTTATGTTATGCAATGGACTTGAAACCAGAAGCCTTCACTTCTGCAGGTCACCACGAGGGCCAGCTCTTGTAGCTGGAGTTTACTCTTTACTTAGGCATAACTCCTTTGAGGTTCTTGCCTTAGGAAACACTAAGCAGGTCCTCCAGGTTTACCCTGTAGTAGTAAATGCCTGAGGGGAGTTAAAGGGCAAAGATAAAACCCACAGATCATCTTGAGGGTGTTCTGTGACCTTTCATGTTTTCTCAGAGTTGACTAACAGTGATGTGATGCAGACTGCAGAGCCACGGTGAGAATGAAATGCTTTTAGCAGAAGGGAGTAATTTAAGGCAGGATGACAACAGGGCGAGGATTACAAGAGTGGAAAAGTTAAGGAGTAGGGACTTGTTTTAACCTCAGCTTACTGTTGGTACTCTTTCTTATACAACTGGTTGCATTTCTTTCAGCACAATTTGTGCTTTCCAAACCACATCCCTATCCCTGCCAGCGTTTCGGGTCAGCACATTGACACTCTGGACACTGCCCCAGACTGAATTAAAACCAGGTATTTCTTTTGGCTGCAGACCAAAACCTTCCTCTCATTTGCTACAAGAGTATCTTGAAGGGTGGGTGTTATCTTTTCAGTACTGAGGACATCACTACCAGATTTAAGGCTGTCTGATCTCCAAGGAGACTCCACTCTAAAGCAGAGGCTGAAAGTGAACTAATCTTATCAGGACTGGAACCCTGGGGTACTAGAGATCAGTGCTTCTAGCTAGAATGAAAGCACTCTGAGCATCACTGCCTCAAAGCTTAGGAGAGTTGAAGCAGTTCACAAAGAATTACTGGTTTTGAGGATTAAATCCTAGATGAATAATAAGGAAGAACTAGAGCTACTCCAGGTCAAGACTTCCTACTTGTTCTTTGGAAGCAAATGATATATATACATTTTAAACCCATATGTTTGCTTGTTTGCAGTATTTTAGTGCATGTTATGGGAAGGAGGTGCTGGGAATAGTTGGACTGAATGAGTGCTCACAGGCTGCTAGAGCTTGCTATGATTTTACACTTGTTAGTTTCCTTTTCTTTCAAGTTCTCATTGCTTACAGCCCGATTCAATATGGAAAGGTGCTACCCAACCATCCATCTGCCATTCTGCCCCTGCCCTGAAGCATCTCCAGGACTCTGCTGTAGGGGAAGTTAGGGAGATTTGGACATAGAAACATGTCACCGAGGACTAAACCACCACAGCACTCCTCTGAGCTGTCACCCACTTGTGATGAATTCCCAGGGAACAAAAGCTAAGCCACAAGACAAAAGAACTTTGGAAGTCCTGTCCCTTTTTTCCCCTCACATTTACTGTCCCAGATCTCAAGTTCACATCTTAGGCTCAGAAATGCAGGGAAACAGGCAACACTTTCTAGTCCCTTCTCCTGAGGAAGCTGTGGCATCCTGTAAGCAGTAAATACCCACACTGTTCCCTGTCAAACACTCAGCATCTGTCTTCATGCTCCATTATCCACCCTTCAATACGTTCACTAAAAATCCCCCAAGCTTTTAACATACCAAAGTCAAATGACTGGTAGGAACTTGTCATTCAGAGAGTGCATCTGATATGGTTACAAATTCAGCAGTCTTAATGTGCCTTAGCCAAATTCTTCCTTTAAGATATTCCACTTCATTTCTGGGGTAACACCACCACTGGTCTCACATATACTGCTATAAACTGAGAGCAAAATTTGCCTCAATGTCTTCCTATATGGAAAAGTTCCTCTTTTCCAACCCTTTCTCATCCCCTTAAATGGATTCTTACCCCAATTGCAGCTGCTCCCTTCTGTAATCAAAATTTTACACATGGAAGAGAAAGAGGGGAGGCTAAATAAGCCAATCTCACACTTACATGGCTTGAAGGATTATTTGCTTGAATCATTCCCCTCCCACACACAAGCAGAGGAAAAACAGCTCGCCCAGTTGACACAGAGCTCAGGCTGAAAGTGTTTGCTGTCAGTACAGAAATCTCCTAGCACAGGTTTTAGCTTAAAGACAGGCAGGTTTTTCGACCCCAGGAAAGGCTTTTTTCACTAACTATCACCACCTAAATGAATCTAAACTGAGGTCGTGGTTCCTCTTTGGCAACTATTCGCGAGGGAAGAGTTGTGAGGGGCACAGATGGTGCTGTGAGCAAGTCTGTGCCACAGTACCATGATTCAGCCAGCTGTCTGAAGCACTCCTGCTTGCCAGCTTGGATGGACTGTGTTTCTGTGAAAGAATTCCTTGTGCTGGGATTGAATCGGCTCCAATTGGTGACCTGTTCTCAGTAGCATCTCATGATATACTAGTTCTTTACATGAGATTTGCCTTCCTCTCAGTGCAGAGAGGCTGAAAGGAACGAGATGCTTTATTTGGGATTTGGATACGGATACAACAGTGGGAGAAAGACCAGCTGGGTCCTGGCAAGCAGGTCCAGTGTTCTCTGCATGGCAGCAAATGGAGAGGGAGAGAGGAGCTGTCATCTGCTGCCCTCTTTGCTTACCCTGATACGCTTTGCTCGCCTCATGTCATCTGCTGTCATGGTGCTCTGCGTGGGCACCGGGCTCTCATCGTGCTGCGCCTGCATTTGTAGCGGGTGGTTTTCCGACTGCTGCTCCAGTGCAGACTGTGGCTCTGGCGGCACTGGAGTCTGCTCCTGCTGCTCCAACCCGTTCAGTGTGGCTTGGCCGGCCTCATCAAACTGCCCCTTGCTGGAAAAATGCAGCAAGTCCTGAAATCGCAAATCATACAACCAGTGATTATTCCCCCCACCCACTGAAAGAGGCTTTGATAAGACTCAGCAGGCAGCAAGATCTCTACATGCTCATCACCAGCTAGAAACAAAATGGTTCTACACTAACATGTTCCTACTGTGTCCACTGATGCCCGCAGCACATCACCTCCACCTACAGCAACAACATTCAGAGCGCCAGGGAAGCAGCGCTGCAGGTTGGTGACTCTCTTCATAGACTGGCTTGGGTTGGAAAGGACCTTAAGATCACCCAGTTCCAACCCCTGTTCATGGGCAAGGATGCCTCACACTAGACCATGTCACTCAAGGCTCAACCTGGCCTTGAACACTGCCAGGGATGGGGCATTCCCCACTTCTCTGGGCATCCTATGCCAGCGCCTCAGCACCCTCACAGGGAAGAGCTTCTGCCTTATCTCCACCCTGAACTTCCCCTGTTTCAGTCTGAACCCATCACCCCTTGTCCTATCACTCCAGTCCCTGATGCACAGTCCCTCTCCAGCATCCTTGTAGCCCCCTTCAGACACTGGAAGCTGCTCTGAGGTCTCCGTGCAGCTTCTCTTCTCCAGGCTGAACAGCCCCGATGTTCTCAGCCTGGCTCCATACAGGAGGTGCTCCAGCCCCTGAGGATCCTCATGGCCTCCTCTGGCCTTGCTCCAACAGCTCCATGTCCTTCTGATGCTGAGGACAACATCCTGGCCACCATATTGTGTGATTGGACACAGACAACCCAAGTAACCCAGCTGTTAACAGCCAAAGAAGATCTTCTGCTCATGACTTACAACTGCTACTGCTTTAACCAAAGGTGACATAAGATGACCCATAAGAAAGCAACCAAAACCACTAGCAGAGACCAGGGAAAGCATAGAATTTGTGTCTCATTGTTGTCACTTTGAAACATTATCATGTATTGTTATGCCCTGTCTTCTCCTGTCTAACAAACAAGCTGGAGTGCTGGAGAGTGACAAACGAGCTGATTAAACTGTGCACTGTGCCTTTTGCCATCCAGTTTCCAAGCTCTGCACACTCTCATCTACCCAGCTGCGCGCATCATTTATATTTATCACACAAAGCAGTTTGCCTCCTCTTCCATAGAAAAGGCAGGGTGTTGGGAGCAGGAAGTGCATGCCAAAAATCTACATTCTTTTTGTAGAAGTTCCAGTAACTCCTTTGTGATGGAATTCTCTTGTTTTCCAAGGAAAATAAACCAACATGGATCCTTACTTGACAGCACTTAATGCAAACCAAGGCAACTTAAAAGCCCAAGCCAGGAGAGGGAGCACTACAAGTGGATCATATCAGCTTTGGTACTGCCAAAGCACAGAGATGTGGGAGATTAAAAACAGGGATTGCTAGAAGGAGTAAAGCTGTTGTAAGCCACAAACGCTTACCAGCTAAGAGACACTTAGAGCAATCGACCAGTCAAATGTCTAGTCCTGCTCTAGGGGTCTACTTCCCACAGTTACTGACCCTAAATCATGCTCACAGCATCCCCAGTCTCAAGCTGTCAGGCAGATGAACTTTAGTGAGGCAGACCAACCTCCAAGGGCTTGGGATACAACCGTAGTCCCAGTGGAGTGTACAGACACATATGAGCTCCGGGCCAGGCTCCAAGCTGGCAGGACACGAGGCACTGCTGGTCCAGAGGCCATTCAGACACATTAGCATAGGACTGCACCCTGTGTCTCTGTAGTTAAGGGTTTGGGAACAGTATTATGCTTACTCCTCTAACAGGAGCTGGCTTGTGCCATGTCAGATTGCAGAGAGAGTGATCTCCCAACTGCCTGCACGTAATGCAGCATTTAGGGCAATGCTGCAGCCTCAGAAGATGAGTGGCAGGCATTCACAGGCAATGTAGATATTCCTCCCTCTGAGTCAGCACTGAACCATGAACCAGTAAGATGCCAGAGGAAAATTACCTCTCACAGACAGCAGCTTTCAGCTGAGTCATAAACCAGAGCCACTGAGCCCTCCTGACACCTTTCAGTAAAGCTCTTGGTGGTAACCCAAGCATGGTCAGCAAGAACGGAGCATTTGACTTAAATGCATCATACTAGGTCCCTACAGAATAAAACCAACAGCCACAAGCAAAGGAAATCCTTGCAGGAAGCACGCCTGCAGGAGGCTCTTTTGTTAATATTCAGACATCATGAAGAATCATAGCTCAAACTGATGTAATTCTACCAGCAACAGCTCTAAAAGCAGGCTCCGACCTCCCGTTCCAGAAAGGACTAATACAAACCTAAATTCCCATTACACTTTTACTGCCTAAATTACTTTTGTGATGCTGCTCAAGTGCTGCAATAACCCACCTCAGTGCTACGTGCTTAGTGCTCAAAGCTGCTGTAGAAACATGAGTGATTTTACAGTTGTTATAGAAGGGAAGCAGAACATCACAGCCAGAAAAGCAAGAATGACTTGGGTTTAAGTCCCAAGCACATCCCCAGTTTGCACTGATACCCCAAGTTTACACCCTATGTGAGGAGTTTTTCCTCCTTTCCACCCCCTATTAATATACCTGTGTCCCTTCTTCACACTTCTCCCCATTTTCACTGGTTACTTCCATACGCATGAATTTGGGAGGGCGCCCGGGGCGTCTGCCTGGTCCAAACCTCCTCTTCCCTCGGCCACGACCTCGGCCTCTGGCTCTGCAGGACACATGGAACTCCAGGTTAGAGAGAAGACAGGTTGGGTTTGGAGTCTCCAATCATTGTGCACATTCCCTCTCAGCATCATTCAACTCAGTAACCAGACCATACAACAGCTGCTTTCATTAAGCGTGTGACCAAAAGGATTATTGGCTTCTAGCAAGTCCTGTGCTGTGGCAATTCTCCTATTCCAGTGTGCTGGAAAGATGGAATACAAGGAAACCAATTTAAAACCTGAAGCTGTAACATCCCTACCCCAAAAAGGCATGCAGCCATTGATGTCAGGCAGCAAATGACAGGGAACTATTTTCTATATCAAACAAAAACCAAACCAGCCCAAAATGAAGCCACTTGCTAAGTTTCAGGAAAAGGAAGGCACCAATATCTACTGCTCTCCAATGGATGTTTGTAGATGCAGCTTTGAATAGGTCAGGATAAATTACGTTGCCAACCCCATGAGGAGGCAAAGCACTACAAGCCTTGTTCTCCAAGCTGCACACATCCAAGAAGCACATGTGTTCCAATATTGTGGTACTGAAATAATGCAGCTTTTGAAGTCACTGCCAAAATAACCCAAAAGCAACCCAAAATCGTGTCACCAGTTCCAATGGGGTGTTTATTTCCCTTATGCTGCTTCTATTGCAAAGTCTCTTACATGGCTTCCTGGTGCCACGTTCTTCCCTTCTGGTGCTGAGCTGTTCTCCCGCAGGCACCCAGGTTGGGCAGCAAGATCTCTAAGACAAAACCCCTGCTTCCTGCCAGTTTGGGGACACACCACAGTGATGGGAGGCAAAGCTTTCAGTACCTGCTGAAGAAGTCCAGCTTCTCATCGTGGGAGTTGAGGTGCTGCTGGAGCTGCTCCGAGCTCATGAAGCGCCGATTGCACTCGTAACAGGGCCAGTTCTTCTCTTGCTCTCTGAGGACTGTGTTCAAAGGGAGAGGTCAGGAAGAGCATCTCAGTCACCACTGATGCAATGCTTCATTGGGTTGGTTGGGGTTTCTTTTCTCCCTAAGCCATACTTCTCCCTTCAAGGTTAGACAAACTGCAGAGTATCAACAGTACTGGTCCCTTTAGCTTTGCTTTCATCCCCTCTGCACTGTGGCATGACCAAAGCTCATCACAGCAAGATAAAAAGGTCACTGGGGACAGTTCACACGGACTATAAACACCACTTACAACTCAGGGAGATTCTGGAATTCACCTTTGCATGGAAAAGCACCTACAGGATTGGATCTCTGGTGTAAGTATGGGGAGGTCAAGAGAAGCTCTCAGTCTAAACCTGCAGCACATCAGGTTATGAGAGACTCAACATTAAGCACCAAGCAGGGAAACATAGCTCTTTCCAACAGCAACTTAATGCTTCCCAGAAACTGAGGCAAAAGGTTAAGTTATTCTAATACTAGCATGAGAAGAGTTAGTAGAAATAAGCCCCAATAACACCATCAAGATCTGGTTTAACTTCTCTTAACCTAGCAGAAACTTGGGAGCACTAGACAAGCTGTATACTTGAAACAGAGAAGTGCAACACCCAAACACTGCCACACAACAAAACCAAAGAGAAGAGCCCAAGTTACCCTTCCTTTCCTCCTCGGATATGTCATGGATCTTCTGGTTCACAAACTCTGCGTAAGAGGCAGCATACCACACCTGCAGCAGGAAGAGAAGATAACAGAATGCTCAGATGGAACCAGAACTAGAGGGAATCCATTTGAAAGGGGGTTTTAAGCAATGCATTTACTTCACTTGCCTCAACCACTAACTCTTATAGCTCCTTTCATCCTCAGTAATGAAGCCTGTTGAGATCAATGTGCCCCCACTGAGGAATGAAAGAGCTTTGCTCAGAAGGCATATCCATTTAATTTTAAGGTACAGCCTCCTAATATGGATGTTCATCTCACACATGGCTACCAGAAGCTCTAAAGGAGATAAGATTAATCTCTTCAGACCCAAGTGTATGACTGAAAAGGATGGGTGTCACCCAAGTGCTGGTCCTTGGTGGAATGAGAGTAATAGGAGAATAATGTCCATTTCTTTCCTGCTTTCTTTCCATGGAAAACAAGCAACACCATCCACAAAGACTCATTTCAAATGTGCCTGAACTTCTGAAGGCTTGGAGCAAGACGGTCCTGCTTCCCAAAACCAAGATCTGCCAGGCTGCAGCAGGATGGACCCACCTTCAGTATCCAAGGGATTTCGGAAGCTTTCAGCAGGGAGAACCAGAGAGACACACTTTATGAGCCTAAAAATCAGATGTTCACTTTTAGCTGAGATTTCTTGCCCCATTTGTCATTTTATCTTACTGTTTGTAAGGTCCCGTTACTGTAAAAAGGTCCCGTTTCAGAGGAGATTTCTGCAAGAAGGCATGAACAGATTCTCAGCATGAAAAATCTGGGCAAGTTTAAACTTGTACTAGGCCACATAGCAGCAGTCAGTGGCATTTCTAACTCCCTTAAAGGTGTGTGTTACTTGGCAGGAATCTCACTAGCTGGGTAAGAAGAAAGCCTTGGAGCTCCTAGACCTGTCATGCAATACACAAGTTCTCAACTTTAACTGGTCCTCCTCATCTCTGGACATAAATTATAGCCCTGCGTGGGAAGGCGAACACATTACAGAGCCTGGATCATTCACTTGCAGTTCTCAAACCAATTTTACCCTAAAAGACACTACTTACACATAAGGGAAGAAAAATGCTGCTGCTGCATGCAGGTCTGTGCACATTTCATTAAAGTGTGATTTCCAATTGATTTAAAAACTTGAGAAAATGATGTTTGGATGCGCTTCAAATGGATTAACAAGGTTTCTAGTGATTCAGCTTAAACAAATTAAGGACTGATGTCAGAGAAACCAAAAGGAACCTTACTCTTAAGAACAAGAGGTGTGTAAGGAGGCTTTTGCCCTGGTTAAAACCCAGGTTTTTGTTACGTTGTTGAGAATAATGTGCCAGAAAAGATTCGAGGAAGAAAAAGCCATTTCCTGATATCAAAGTGTTTTGGTTGCCCCTGGTTCACCACATGATGCTGAAGATGAAGGTCATCTGAGCCAGGCACATTGCTTGGAACTCTGAGTAACACATTGTAGAGGGAACAGAAAGTAACTCACAGGGAAGTCATAATATCCTTTATCATTTTCCAAAGCTCCAGGAAAGCCAGGGAAAGCGAGAGCCCACAGTCACTTAAGGCACCAGAAAACAAGTCAAGGGCACCCAGGGCTAACTGGAAAGGGCATCCAGAACTCAAAAGAATGAGACTGCTGCAATACAATTAGACTGCATCAGCAAAACAGCTGCAGTGTAAAAGCATGAGAGTGACAAACCAATCATGTGCATACTGATCTCAGACTTCCATGTTTTATACCTAAGCCAAAGCTCACATCAAACCCACAAGTCACTGGCTAACTACTCACTGACCTCAGTGATGTTTGATTCATGTGCTTGATGAGAGAAAAAAGCCCTAAATCTATGGACAGAACCATTCCTGGCACTTGGAAATGCACTTATAAAACAGGAACCTTGAAGATTCGATTTCATCAGTAGAAAAATGAGCCCCAAACCATGAGGAATGCCATACCTTGAGCTCCTGCTTGGGCTCCACGTTTTTAATGGTGGTGTAGTAAATGTGGTGGCCATACTGATACGCAACCAGGTTCTGCTCCAGATGGTTTTGAGCTGGACGCACAAACATCATCCAGTTACAAAGTGCCTCGCTAGATAGTTCAAACCACAGGTCCTCTTGCAAATCTCTGTCTTTTCTGTCCTCCTTCTCAAGAGAAACCTGTAGCAAAAGCCAATTACATGGGGCTGTAAGTGCCTGGCAGCAGGTTCAGAAGAATCCGAGTTGCCCATACAACTATTACATTAGGAAAGCAATGAAGACATCATTGATTTTCCTTCTCTCTGCTAACAGGGATCCAGAAACAGGCAGCATTTAGAAAAACACTTAAAAGACAGGCAGAGATTTAGCTAGAAAGACAGGATGGCCCCTTCCACAGCTTTCAAGGGCAAGAATCATTCATTAAAAGCATCAGCCACAGTACTTGACATGTGGCTGTAAATGAGGCATGAAAAGCTTTAGCTTTAGCAGGTTATATGGCATCAGCTGTCCAATGTTTCTAACTGACAGATCCACTTCTTTGCTCTCCTGACTCAAGCTGGAAGCAGTGCTGCTCTAGCTCAATTTTGGCTGGGTTACTGGATCTGCCTGGGGTCACAACTTGCTTGGCAAGCACTGATCATCAGACAGCAGCACTCCTAAGACTGCAGACTTCATCTCTAGCAGATAAAGAACCAATTCCCACAGTCAAACCAGTAAATAACTGGGTAAAAGTCAGCCAAATCCATTCCACCTCAACTCCAACAACCTTGCATGAAGAAGGGGTGAAAAATCTCTCCTCTCCCCTACATTTTGTGGGGGAGAGGAGGGAAAGGGGAATAAAAAGTACTTTTAACTTAGGTTATAGCATTACACAAAAGAATGGCTGCAAAGCATCCTCAGATGGGGCTACTTTTATGCTCAGATGCTGCTTCATCCCGTGTGAAAATGATTCACAGCATTCCATGTTACACATCCTATACACTTTAACACCATACTGCCAGAATATTCACCATGATTATTGTGTCTTCCTGAATAACAACAGATTTCAAGCCTGTCTGGGTATTTCCAAGTCACATCCAGAGAGAGAAGTATCAGAACAACATCCCTAGTGAAGTAACTCATCAAGGCAGACTGACAAATTCATGCTAATCAAAGCCTAAGCACAAACTGATCCTTCTTCTCCTCTTGTGCACACATGGCCTTACCTTCAAATGGATATAGCAGTCTTTGAGTTCCGTCTGTCTAACCAGGGGTCCTTCCACAGGTCCAAACTGTGTGCGTTTGGGGATCCTCCTTTTGGAGAACACACCTCCCAAAAACCTGTCTATGTAGAGCACCAAGGGAAGGCTGGCTCTTGCCCTGGTCAGCACAGGCCTGTTTGGGATTGGATGCAATGGTCCGTGTTTTGGACACACAGAAGGATGCGCGTTATTACACTCTTCACACCCTACAGCACAAAAGTCAGAGAGGACATGACTGTCAGGCAGACACTCACTCATCTCAGCCTCATCTTGTTTTAAATCTCATGTATTCCAATAGTCTGTCTACATCTTAAAGCATTAGAGAGGGCAGCTCCCTCCAAAAGGAAGAATAAAGCAGCTCAGAGGCTCCACCTGACACAGAACCTGGTTTTTGCAGTAAGGCAGTCCAATTTGAGCCTACATCTCTGGGTATCAAGGAATTTACTTCTTACTGCTATAATCTGTATGATTTTTACTAAACAGAGGAAAAAGAAATAAGAGGAGGGCGACTAACACACTACACAATACTTCCAATGCTTACACAAATCGTTGGGATCAAAGGGTCGAGGTGGATCTGGATCCCACTCATCCATGTCAGTGTCTTCCCCCTCTTCATCCTCATCTTCATCCTCATCATCTTCCTCTTTTGTTTCCATCCTTCCCATTTGATTCTGCAGAGGTGCTAAAGGGTCAGACCCATCCACTGCCTCCATAGGAGGTAACACCTGGTTATGCACCGGTAACGATGCCTGGAGGAGAGAATTCACAAACTATCACAACTGAATCATGAAGGAATACTCTCTTACAAAGACAAGCAATGAAGGTTCTCCCTAGTTTAACCCTTTCTGCTTCTTTTGGTAATGGAAAGAAGGACAAGGGAAAGTGAAGTGACATGATGAATGATTGCTGAGGGATGTTTTGCATCGCTGCTACACACAGCATCACTCAGGACAGCTCTGGGTCACTCACTACCTGGTTCTACCCTGTCAAGAACTGCCTACTCAGGAGAAGAAACTGAAATCAAAGAAGCTCTGGGCCCTCACAGAAACCAAGTCCAGGCTCTGGCAATTATCTAGAGCATAAAGCTGTAATTTAGCTTCTTTTGTGCAAGTGAGAATCCTGCACTTCAGCACATGATCTTTTCTATCATACAATCCACCAAAATCAAACCCCCAGAGCACACATGCAGAGATCATAAGGGATGAGATACAAACTTGGGGACACAGTGGACAGCTGAGGGCACTGTATTCTTTCCCTAATTTTAAAGTTTATCCCTTTCTGCCCCTACAAAAAGAGACAAAACTAATTGAAGTGCAGTGCACAGAATGTTCTATCACCCACACAGGTTCCTCAGGTACAGAACAAGAAATACTACACACAGCAAAGCTGCCTCAAAGACTGGCAAAGAGACCCGATGGATGTTGGCCCTGTGTGACAGTCAGCATTACACCTTCTGTTAACGTGGCTTTCAAAGCTGAGAGGTGTATTTTAAGGAGGCTGCCCAAGGCAGAACAATCTGTAGAACAGGTTTTTATGTATATTAAATACATAGAATCCTAGACTGGTTTGAGTTGGAAAGGACCTTAAGATCATCCAGTACCAACCCCCTGCTACGAGCAGGGAACCCTGTGTCCAACCTGGCCTTGAACACTGCCAGGGATGGGGCAGCCACAGCTTCTCTGGGCACCCTGTGCCAGCTCCTCAGCATCCTCACAGGGAAGAGCTTCTCCCTTATCTCCATCCTGAATTTTCCCTCTTTCAGTTTAAACCCATCAGCACCCCTGGTCCTATCACTCCAGTCCCTGATGAAGAGTCCCTCTCCAGCATCCTTGTAGCTCCCTTCAGATACTGGAATGCTGCTCTCCTGCAGGAACCGCACACACATGCTGAAAGACAGCACCTATTTGTGCTCCAGCTTTCTCCCATCTCCTCCCGGATCACAGACACGTCCCATCACCTGAGACAATGGAGCAATGACATTGGTGTACATTGAGAAGAAAAGGGTGCCTGGCAACTTACTCTATCTGCTTGAGGACCCTGCTCCAGAGCCATTTGCTGGGGGGGTTCAGCAACGCTGCCGAGCACGGACAGGTTGGTGGGATTCATGCTCTGAGCAGCAGCAGGCAAGAGCACAGTTACCTAAAATCATAGGTACTCAGTTTAGCACTGCAGCATTTCCATCATGCCCTGCATGCAAAGCTCCCTGGACTCCTACACTAGGTCAAAAACTGCAGCATTGCGATGGTTTTCGTTAGTAAGTAGAGATGATGGACTTGGACAAAACCTGCAGATCTGGGGACAAAGGGAAAAGCTTCAAAACTCACTCTAGATTCTGCAACTCTTGCATTGCCCATCTCCCACTTCTGGCTTTAGATTAAGGTCCTACTCAGCCTGGGTTCAAACTGCACTAAGGCAAGACGTGAGAAGCTCTTTAGCTCTTGGTCAAACCAGGGATTTGAGGTCTGTTTCTCTTCTATGTCTAAATTTACCTTCTTTTTTTTTTAAGGGAAAAGGTAAAGAAGGAAAAAGCAGCATCTCCTCTTTGCACCTTTCTTTAGCAAACAAAATCCATTCTAAAACCAAGATGGTCTCTTGACCCCACTGGAATATCAAACACCCGTAAGTATTCCAACAGTGATTCTTTTCCTTGCATTATCTGGTCACACTGCACATTTTTGGTTGTTTCCATCCCCAGTTTTGTTACTACACAAAAACAATGCATATTCCCACAGCATTCCCATTCATTCTGCTATCAAACAAAGCAGAATTAAGATCCTAAGAATCACCTTTCCTGACACTTGTTTCCTGCTTATCTACACAGGAATTTGCACCATTATCTCACATGATTTCTCATCCTCTACAGCTGACATCATGTAGCTTCTGCTTTGTGCCTCTGACTATTAAGCAGCTTTTATGCTAAAATTAAAGCCTCTGCACAGAGTGTTTAACAAATACACATAAAAGTGAGAACACAAGTTGTGCCAACAGTGAGGGAGCAGACAAGAACATCTACAACACAAGCAGACAGCCTTAAAACTCCAAATCTTGGTGTTTGTTCAGAGTAATTCATGAAACAATATAAAGACTACAGGAAAAAGACTTCAGGAAAGCTGAACCAAGCTGCCTGGTGCTGACATCTCTGAGGCCAAGTGGCAACCAGCAAAGCATCAGCATGCAGTGGCACCTCCAGCAATGAGAGGTGCTTGTGTCTGTACCTCCTATTAGGATTTCCTACTACTAATCACACTTCAAACATACTCTGACTTCCATCAGTGCAGGAAATATAGGCATGAGATTTAAAACCTCCCAGTTTCTTTTCAAGATGAGGTTTCTTCTGAAGGATAAGTGGAGCTATAATTCCTATTTTAACCTGTTGTCAGTGCAGGGATGTCCCACATGAAATGCAAAGGCAGGAGCTGCCACAGTGAGGGACCAGCCGCTTGCCAGCAATGAACAGCTCTGCTGGGGCTGCCACCAGACAACATCAAAAGGAAGAAGGGGCTGTGGACACACAGACAAGTGCTCATGCCCTTGATACTCCACACAGGGTACTAAAAGCACACCTTTGCAGTGTCACTCGCACTGCACACAGAAATGATGGCTACTTTTAATTAGATCCTGTATTTGTTCTATGAACTTTAAGACAAATAATAAGGTTTTCTGGCTTCTTCATGCTGGGAAGGTGATGTGGCAAAATACCTTCTAGATTCCTCCAGAGAACTGGAAGAAAACGGGTAGCATCTTTACTGGGTCACTCATTTCCTCACCGATTTAAAAGGTCTTTTCCTAGCAAGAAAACTGGTTTTCAGTGCACATTCAACCCTGCACTCTGCCCCAAGACTGTCAATAAGGATGTATTTAAACTATAGCTTTAGCCATGACTCCACTGACATGTGCCATTAAAGACTCAGCAAGCAGTAAGGGGTTTAAGTCTCTATGACAAGCAGGGAATTGGGAACTACAGGTCTAGATCTGAAAGCACCTCTATCTGATGACCACAACACAGTCCCTAAAGATATTAGTAAAAGTTAACACTAAAACCTTCCATTGTGGTGGATGAGAAAGGAAACACAGGTTCCAGTTTCATTCTGGCCCTAGTCCCCTTTACACCAGCACATGCCCCAAACCTGGGATGCCCTGGGAAGAAAAGGGAGCCAGTAATAAACTTCTGCAGGATTTGCACTTAATTTCCTGGGAAGTTTTTAGTAAATGTAGAATTGGATCCAAGGTTGCTGTCCCTTGAGAGCCTCTTCTGGATTTAAAAGGCATTTGGATGAGAATCTGGATGAGGCCAGCTGCAAAGCCAGTCTTTCCAGAAGGACACACTGAAATAAATCAGCCACATCAGCTTGCTGACTTAAAGGGACACTGGTGACAGATTTCACAATCTATCTGGGGCAGTAAGTAAGTATCTTTGTTGAACATGAATTAAGAAGAGTAAACTCAAACTCTCTTTTGTCATTCATGCACAGCAGCTTGTTATCATAAGCCTTGTGCCCTTCAGCACACAACTGAAGACTGCCATTTGACAAGGTTAGAGCTAGCTCATATTAAACTCTAGCACCACAACATCATCTCTCCCCCTTCAGCAATAGTCTCCTTAACAGCTAAGGCCCAAGAAAATGCATGTCTCTTCCTTACCTGCTGGGTGGTGGCATCCTGTTGGACATAAGCCACTTGGGAGGGATCTGTAAACAGAGTCTAGACAAAGTGAAAAAGGCTTATCAAACCAGCCTGGGGGCTGCCCACTCCCAACTCACACCACAGCTACCCTGCCACCCAGAAATCAGCCCCCCTTATCCTCTGCTAGTGTGTCTGTTAGCACAGCAGATTAGTTCAACTTACCCAAGCACACAGAAATTCAACTAGACTCAGGTAGTTTAAAACCATATTGAAGTGATACCATATTGAAGTGGAACTTTTCACCCCTATACTGGAGTGCCTCATGGGAATTTTTCTTCTCTTTTTAATACAGAAATCACTTTGTCAGGTGTTGGTTTGATAAAGTCTACAGGATGAAATTCAACAGCCCCATGAAAACTACATAATACGTGAGGGCAGGACAGAAGATAACCCTTACATTTCTCTCCTGCAAATTCACAAGACTTGTGCATGCCTTCTTTTGAGGAATTATCAGGCATACCCCACATGTGAATTTCATCAAGCCAGGATGTCAGCTCTTTTTCATTTCACAGAAGACATGCCAGCTCCAATATTCTTACAATAGCCTGCAAGAACAGCCCTGGTGGGAGGGCTTCCCCCCTTGGAAAAGCAAGACTTACATGAAAAGTAAGTACTGATAGAAGTCAGCCTTGCTTACTTCACTCAAACTTGAGATATCTGAGCTGGTGGCAGTCTGGCTCCAACCAAATACAGCGTGGCATAACACCAATTCCATTAGGGCTTTGAGAATGTCATCTCAGTTGCATGATAATGTCTTAATACTACACCTCTTTGTTCTAACGGAACAGCTAACAACCGTGCAAGAGTGAGACCACAGCACACAAGGCTATGCCAGTGTTGCTGTGGGTGTCAAGTACATGCACTCTGTAGCACTGCTAATAATAATGTCAGCTAAGTCATTACAAAACATGCTTGACAAAGCATGCCTGTTCCTCTTGTGTTATCTGTGCACAGAGGTACTATATTAACTCCCCATAAACATATGCTGACAAAGAATAAAAGCTGTTTGATGCAATTATGAAGAGGAAAAAGATTCCAAGTCTCTAAAACCAACAATATCCCTGAAGCTAATTCTACAAAATGAGATTGAATACACCGAGATCCTCTGCAAAGACATGACTGTCACTGTAACTGTCAATTATGAGGAGTGTACTATGCAAAACAAGGACTCTTCCAGAAGACACACAGATTGCTCTTAGCTTTGTACTCAATACAACAGAGGCAGAGTTTCTGGAGAGATTATCTCTCTTTTGGAAAACACCTTTGAGCTAATTATAATCTCATCCACCTTCAGTGAAATAATTCATGGCCTCAACATCCTTTGATTCCCACATTTGCACATCAGACAAATGAACACCACAAAGCCCCTGTTCAACAACGGGCAGATAAAAGCGCAAAGAGGAACTGCCTGCTATTTCCCAGTCCTACCACTTGGCTGGTAACCAGCTTCCATCTCAAACCAGCTCGTTTCCTAGGTGCCAAAACAGGGTGTGCACAGAACCACACATGCCTGCGTAGCTTCCACGGGGTGGATGTAAACCAGGGTGTGCTCAGAGGTGTCCACAGAGGTGTAGGAGGTGCCATCCGCCGTGTAGACAACCTGCTGCGAGGGACGGTCCTGCTCGTCGCTGTACACGATCTGCGCCACTGTTCCCCCCTCAGGGACAAAGTGCACCTGCAACAAAGGACACATCCTGTCTTGAAACTGGCATGTAGGCCTGTGGGAAGCAACATAAGGACAGAGAGTACCTACACACACTGGGCTGCCTCAAAAGGAGCCTGAGCAGAAGATTGAAGGAGGTGATGCTGCCCCTCTGCTCTCATGAGACCCCACTCGCAGCACTGTGTGCAGTTCTGGTGTTCTTAAGATAAAAAGGACAAGGAACTGTTGGAGCAAGGCCAGAGGAGACCACAGGGATGCTCAGGGGCTGGAGCACCTCTCGTACAGAGCCAGGCTGAGAACACTGGGGCTGTTCAGGCTGGAGAAGAGAAGCTGCTTGAGAGAGCAGCTTCCAGTGTCTGAAGGGGGCTACAAGAACGCTGGAGACAGACTCTTCATCAGGGACTGCAGTGGTAGCAGAAGGGGTGATGGTTTCTAACTGAAACAGGGGAGATTTAGGTTGGATATAAGGAAGAACCCTGTGAGGGTTCTGAGCCACAGGGTGCCCAGAGAAGCTGTGGCTGCCCCATCCCTGGCAGTGTTCAAGGCCAGATTGGACACAGGGGCTTGGAGCAAGCTGCTCTAGTGGAAGGTGTCCCTGCCCATAGCAGGGGGTTGGAACTGGATGAGCTTTAAGGCTCCTTCCAACCCAAGCCAGTCTGAGATCCTGCAATACACACTTAAAATCTCATTGAATTACAGTAGCAACATAGAAATCCAGACATAAACTACCATCAGATTCTGGTTCTACTCTGCATTGTAACTCAAGGTGTAACTGGTATAAAAGGCACCTACCCATCCTCAGCTCTTGCACGATGCTCTGAAGATTCCCAAGAGAAAGCAAGTTCATATCTGAACTGAGGTATATAAGGAATTTATTGGTATATCACTTCCCTTTACTCTCATAGTCCTTTCTGGATTTATGGTAATTACTGCATCCAGCTAGTTCTGTAGTTGGAGTGAATTTGTTCTGCTTGATGAATGGCTAAGAAAACCTATAACTTTGATACTACTTCAAGTAACAGCACTGCACCTATCATGAGGCACCAGTAGCACATGTTAGATTGCTTCTCTGTAGCGTGTACATGCAGTACCAGGAGAAAATTCAACTATTTAAACAGAGAAACATAGAAATGAAAGCATCAAGCAATGATTCCAGGGACAACTGGAACAAGTTATGTCCAGGCCAGCAGTTTAAATCCAAACAAGTTCATTTTGACAGAGTATTATGACCATAACTGATGATAATGGCCTACCTTGAACAAGCTAGAATACTTAGTTCCAGTGGCAAGGGGAACATGGATATCTTTTGACACCCTTAACACACTGAAAACCTTGTTCAGCACACAGTAAAAATAGAATAGTTAGCAGGAAGCCTTGTTTTAGTCTCCATATTCATCCTCACATAAAATGTTTGCACATAAACCGATGCAACAGCTACATGTTTGATTTACTTTACTTCACCTTGTAGCTTATGCTTCGCAAGACACCTGGTGCTCCCCCACGGGTGCTAAGTGCTGATTCTGTACCATAAATCCTCACACAAGCATTGCAGTAAGGATGCAGGGAGCATTTCTCATTTGGAGAGCACTCTGCAAATACTAATCAAGCTTTCTAACTGCCATGTGCAAACAACAGCATGATTATCCCATTGTAGAGATAACAGAACACAGCCCGTTGAAAAGTGCCTTTCCTTGCAAATTTCCAAGCTGGAAATCACCAGGAGAGGCAGAATTTCTCAGCCTGTGGGGCAACCACAACATGCAGCATCCTCTTCATGACATATTCAGAAGAATAAATCAATCTCCAGCCTTCCAGAAATTCCCAGCTGCATTTTGTCAGAGCAACGAGCTGCACACATCAGAATCTGACTGTATTAGTCACTCACAATTAACATTTCTCCCTTCCTCGCTGCCCAGATGTCTGACTGGAATGAGTTATTCATCTTACTTTCCCCAAGGTCCACCCACAATTCCAACTGATTCGACTGATGCCATCAAAATGGGCTGCCACAGACCACAGATCTGGTTAATATTCATTAGTCTGGACAGCCTTTCTCTTGGCCACATGGTTGTACATCTATTTGGCCACTGAAACTTGTATAGCCACAATGTTCAGCTCGTTTCAGATGTAATTCCATTCACTGCTGTAGTGTGTACTGCTCACTTGAATCCAAGATCACCAGACAGGTATGATTTCTCCCTAAACAAAAGCAGAGTTCCCAGACTCTGATAAAGGGTTGCATGGGAACACCACCCCAAGCAGAAACCAAGAGCTCTGGAAGGCATAATTCACCTGAGCACTGTTCTGTTCCTGCTCAGCAGAGTCAGCCCACACTTGAGTACTTTCCTCTTTCAAGTTCATCTCCTCCCTGCTGTGGTGCTCCATGAGGGGAGAGCTCTATTGAAGGAATGTCTGGCTGAAGAGGTTCATCTGTTCACTGTGTTTCTGCTTCCAGAAGACAAGGTGATCTTCAGTAACATGGCTGTAAGAGAAAGAAAGAAGATGGAGATATTAAAACAAGAGGTATGAGCTGTTACCATCAGCTACCACACATGCATTGTCATTTACCATGCTCAAGTTCTGCTGTATAATACTTATTATGTCCTATTAAGGAGGAAACAAGTGAACCATTGCTACAATTGCACTGAAGGATTATACTCAGTTCCTCCTGCACATATTTCCTTGGCCACAGAATATTCTTCACATGGTCCTTCAGGCACCTATAGGCCTTGAAACCAATAAATGATGAAGAAAATAGACCCTTCAGCTTCCAACAAGAAAACATTATGTTCAGAGATGCATCACCAGTGTCTCAGTTTTGCTCAAGAACCAACTGGGTTCACACAAACAGGCAGCTTTCCCCTTGTACAGCACTGCTGCCCCAGTTGGTATTCATGCAGTGTTACAACAGACAACTCTTAAAACTTAAACTCTAATTCATGTGAGCCCAAAGACACTGAGAAATTACTTCCAAGCTGGGTTTTATCCCATTTTATTTGGGCCTCTCAATCTGCCGGTGGGAACCTCACACATGTAAATTACAGCTCTACTGATGAATTTAGTCAGTGGCTCAGCACCCTCCCAGTCCTTGGTCTCTAAAGTCACATTAAATCAGGAGGAATTAGCACAGGGCTGAGCCCATTTCATTTTTCAACTTGATTTTCTACCGAGTGCCTGGGCTGGGCAGCAGGACGCAAGCAGAAGGCTCCGTGCTGATGCTTTCATTCATTTGCATTTTCAATGCACATTCTTGTAGGCAGAATTTATTCCCCTAAATGCCAGCAGTTGGCTTGTCACTGCCCAACTAAAATAAGATAAGGAGGATAAAAAAGAAAGCAGGCTGCACTTTCTGCCTTCTGCTGATCCTGCCAGCAAGGAATCAGTGTAACAGACCCCAGCACTGACTGTACCACTGGTCACAACAGAAATCAACGGTACAGCAAAGGCTCAGGTTAACGTCACTGAACTGAGTGGTAGGGGAAATAAATATCAAAACATCACATTTCTTACACATATGCAAAGAAAACCCATGGGAAAGATATTTATGGGCATCGCTAGACAGCACCTAATGGCATTACTGGTGACTAGAGCCTCACGTTGGCTGTCTCATGAGGAGCAACACAGTACAATCAGCCACAAGCAGAGGCTGAGGAGCAGTTCTGACCTCCCATCAGACCCCTAAGCTGTTACAGGGGTAAAAGAACAGAAACCCATTGATATTGCCTGATAGGAAGCATGCAGAAAAAAGCACTGAGGAGAAAAGGCAGACAGACATGTGAAACATTAACTGCAGCAAACAATGAGGAGCCATGAAATCCAAGTGCTGAAAACCAGAGCCACTTCCAAGTTAGTTAGCACGCACAAGCTCTGATCTATAAACATCCATCATCCATCCCTATATACTCAAATCCACTTGTTAATAAGGATTAGTAATGAAGGGGATGTCTCATACCTAATTCTAGTGCTTCATCCCCCATTTTACCAGCTATAAGACCGCCAAAGGGTCTACAACTGTTGTGTGAAACAGTTTTGTAGCTCAGTAAATCAATCTGGACACCTTCTAGCATAAATGAAATGCTTTATCCTGGTGATATGCTTTGGCTAGTTTAACCCAAACACCTCTTTTCATTCACTATCATTATGAATCAAGAGCCAAGTCAGGTAATGGCACTAAGAATAGTCAGTCATCGAATCAATTGCTTAGAAACATTAAAATACCTAATAAATGCTTCAAGTTTGGGGTTTTTAAACTGTAATTATCCTGCTAATAAGAATATAATTAAATTAAGCAGTGATGAAGAGAAAGCACAATTCTGGCTAATTCCACACAGTGCAACAGGTAGGGTTTTTGGCTGCCCTTCCCCACAAGGGCTAAAGGAAGATGCTGACTCACTCCTGCAGACTCATTTCGGCACAAAGAGCTTGCGACCTGAGTGGAAAGGAGACTGAGGAGTTCAGACAGGTCTTTCACAGACAAAACTGGGCATTAAGATTCATATTTGCCAAAATAATAGTACCAGAAAGTGGAAGAGAAAGCAGAAAACAGTCACTTCAAGTTTTGCCATGGTTCTAGAAGTGCTAATGTCAAATCTGAGGGGAAAAAAAAAGGCAAGGTTGAGCCAAATTCAGTGGTGCAGTGTCTAAAAAGGGTTCTGTTATTGCTGTTCTTCACAGAAATGAAAATACATACTTTCAGCCCAGGCAATTGTGTAGCAACGACCATCAGACACAGTATCAGGAGCTGCATTTGCTGCTGCTTCCAACTACTGTACTTCAAAATACATCCTAGGATCTGCTCTGGGATGGGCTCCTACCAAAGGCTGGAAATCCATGAATTCTCATCAGGTCCATCACAGAATGGCTTAGGCTGGAAAGGACTTTAAGACCATGCAATTCCAACCCCCTGCCATAGGCAGGGACACCTCACACTAGACCAGGCTGCTCCAAACCCCAGCTTTTATGATAGGAAAAAGCAAAGGAAAACAGCTTTTTTTGCCTAGAAGAGGATGAGGGGGCACACAGAAAACATAGAAACATGGATGTGTCAAGGGAGGAGTCAGTGCAAGAGGAGACAGGCCACATCCCAGAGGGGTCCCAAGGCCAGGCAATGAAGAGGGCACAAGGCAGGAACCAGTGTTGGAATTTAGCTGGTAGGAAAGGCAATGATGAAACATGTTAATGTTAGGAGCTGGAAAACTAGTCCAAAGGAACTGACACCAAAACTTCCAGGGAACACAAGCACCTGAGTCAATTTTCCAATCAAAACCACTTTGCTCCTTACTCCCTCAGAGGATGCTCTTCCCCATGAATCCTGCATGGTCTTTTCTTCTTTAAATCCCCCTCTCAGTTTTCACTGCAGCTGTGACATGGACAGCCACGGTGCCTTGGGATATTAAGGATTTAAACTGGGAAGATGGCATTTTCCTGCCCGAACTAGCAGGCATGTCTCACCCAGTCCATGCTGCGCAATGACACAAGCTGAAATGGTAATAGGGGTAAATATAGCCCAGTATCAGTCGAGTACGTCAGAGTGGTGAGGTAGTGATAAGACACTGTGTCACTATATATACATATATATAAGTGTGTGTATATATATATCACTACATTATATATCATGACTCAAGAACCTGCACAGCTCCCATTAGTTCAGAACTCCAGTGGAAGATAAGCTCATTGTGACTTGTGTTTGCTGGAGCTCTGAGACAGCACCCATGGGTACTCCTCTTCCGTTTTTGCCTTTCATATCCAATCCAAACCATCTCAGCAACAGCAAAGCAGTTCTTTATGCCTGGAAAGTGCATTTGTGTCATTGAACAGCTCATCATCTTGGAAACCTCATTTGAAAATCCCTTCCACCACCGTGATACTCTCTAACCACTCTCTCCTGTCCCTGCAGCATGTTGGTTTCTCTGAAGATGGACTGTTAAAACAGAACCCATGGAACATCACCTCATGGGTGCACCCAGGACCCCTAACACTGAGGAATGGGAGCAAATGGTGCTTTAAGAGCAAACCTCCAGTAACAGCAAAGTCACTTATGTAGCACAAGTTCCTGAACCACCTGGATATAGTCAACTCAAACAGTGCTTCAAAGGAAAGCTCAGCTCTGAAGTTCACCCAAAAGCACTACCTAAAATGATAAATATGAACAGCAACCATATTTTCTTGGCTATTAAGTAATGATGTGAATGCTGTCAGTGCTGGGACTACACAAAATACACAGACAAAAACCCTGGTGACTTCACTTGCCACTGGTGCAAGGACATGCTGCTGAGAAAGCACCCAAGCCACCGACATCCATTTCTGTCCCTTCACTCGAATGACAAGAATGAGGGAATATTTAAAGCTGGGCAAGGGGAAAAATCTGCTTCCTGACTCAGGGAACCAGAAAGCCACTGCAGTATCTCAAATGAGAATCCGCCATGTGTAAAACAGCTAATGTGATTTACTCTCCAGTGTAAGAGGCTTGCAGATAGGCTGGGGTTCCCTGCAGCAGTAATAGCAGGGGCTATTAGCTTAATCCTTTAAGTACTGTGCTCACTGAGCACTCTTTTCCACCACCCCCCATATGCAAGACTTTTACAAAAGGGGGTTTTATGACTGTGGGTCTTCCTTAATATGAAAAGGATTTATTATGCTCCAAAGGAACATCACATGTGGCTGTAAAAAGCTCTATCCCACACTTAAGTGAATTACCCAGCTTGCCTAGAAGGCAGAGTCCTTTCTTGAGATCCGTTGGCAGGAGCAGCTTCCATTGCAGCAAGAAGGTTTCTAACCTCATTGAGGACTGAGTCACGACTACCGTCTCCTCCCCTGCATTCCCATCCATCAAAAGCACATCTTGTTTCAAGGAACTCTGGCGCTGGTGCATTTTGGCTCAATGCTCACAATCAGGTAATACAGAACCACAGTATTTATGGCTTTTTCAAAATGGAAATCATACATAGGACTAAGCCAGCAAGGATTATTTATTTCCACAAGAGGCAAAATGGCTTCAATATATTTAGTTGTATAAAAACTAGCCAAACACAAACTCACTCTCTACTCAAATTGTGCATAATAAAGCTATATATATCCTTATGGCACATCCAGCCTCAAAGCAACAGTGAGCTGGAAGAGATCTCTTCCATCTTTCAAGGCCAGTCCCCTGCTACAGTGTCCAACATGTGTCACTGTCCTTTTCCTTAAGGGACAGTGGCCAAGCACTGCAGGGGCAGCTCGACATGTTGTAACTCACAAAGTACCAGGGAAGCAGGGGAAAGTCTATCACAAAAGATGGGAGAGCTCCAAGAGGATCAATAACCATCCCCCTGGGGACATGCCACAGGATGACTTAGAGATGAGGTTCCTGCTCTAAGGACATCCCTGCTGGACCCTAATTCTTGTATGAGGAAGCATTTCTTCTTCACCTTCTGAGTGGGCAAAGAAACAAGTTAATTACATTTCTGTATATGCACATGGTCTGCAAACCACCTCTCTTCCCACTTGCTCCACGCCTGAATACCCACCCCAGTGACTAATTCCTTCCTCCCTTCATGTGTGCCCATGTTCTTCACATGGTCATCTTACAAATGGTTCATACTGTGAGGTCCCATCCCGTTACTGACCCTATCTACCTCATTGGTTTGGTTTATAAATGATAGTGAGGTCTGGCAAAGTGAGAAATGAGAGAAAACATATTTAAGTACAACATGACCTCAAAAAAGGAAAAAAAAAAGGAAGGTCTGCATCAAAATCTGTGCTCAAAAACCTTCAAGGCACTATCAGGTTTTACTGAAAGAAAACCAGACTGTACCAACCACACCATTCCCCTCCAGCATCTCCTTGTCATCTTCTTGTCTCCCATCCCTTCTCCTGCTCAGGCAACTCTCCCCAAAGCTAGCATCAATCAGAGGAAGAGGTTGTTGCCCTTCCTATAAGCATACAGTGCTGTTTCTTCACTCCCTCATCCATCTGCCCTCTGAATTAAATCACCCCTCAAGGTTCAAAAGACAACTATACCTTGGCTCTGCACTTAAAACCCAACAATTTCTCCTTCGGGAGAGCTGCTTCTCTGAAGTACAAAAGACCACAGAGAACAAATTAGGCTATCTGCACATTAAAGCAGGCAGGGGCTTCATGTGTAACACACCAGCTAAGGGCCACAACACACCACCTATTTCTGCTGTGTCTTACTGGCAGGAAATAAACGTGTCAAGCAGACCTGACCTCCTGTTTAAGTCAAAACAAAGCTCACAACACTCAAACAGCCCCTGCAATTAGCTACACTTAGAAGTCAATTAAAATCCAGTTTACACAGCTGACAGCAGCTGCAGGTGGGCAGAAACACACTTAAAAGTAGCTGCTGACTGCAGAGGGAATTACTATTAGTAATAAGGGTGCCAGAGGACAGCAAGCAACGCCACGTAGCCATTTCTCTCTATAAAAGAGAGTGTCAGTTATTCCAACAGAGAGTAACAATAATTAATAACACCACCAATTACATTGGTATCTCATCCTATAACAAGGCAATAAAGCTTCATATTAACCACCTAACACACAAAACAAGTACAAACATCATAAGGTGCCAAAAAGCACCCCAATCTGGGACACGATCTCCATTTAAGGGCTGATCAGAGAAATACACCCTAGAAACAAAGGCGATAGAAGGCTTGACATTGCCAACCAGTTTATTTCCACAAAAGATCTTGTAAAATCAGCTGGTGATCCATCAGCATTTCATCTGCCAACATAACCAAGGGGAAGGGGACAACATAACTGAGTTATTCAGAATGTCACAGAAGGAAGTGGTCTCTGCTCCCATTGAAACGCTGGAAGAGAAGCATCAATAGGTATTGTAGACACGTGTTTGGCCTGTAAGCCACCTATGGTAACACACTAGAGGCTGGTGCGCAGATACCAAACCCTGCTCATTCATTTCACTCTTGGGACTGTGAAACTCAGTAGCCTAAACCCAGTTCTTAACTTTGGTCTATATATTGATCTATAGTTGATCAGAGCTTCCGAGGCTCTGCAGTGAGCAGTTGAGAGGGAAGAGGTGCATGTGCATAGCTTACGTCTCCTATATGCAGGCTCTATCAAGGGCAAATTGTCCCTTTAGGATGAGTAGTTCTGAAGGCCAGACCACCAGCACCTCATTTTTTCCACTCCAGCCTCACGATTTAACAAGCCTCCATTAACAAATTAATGCCACTGTGGCACAGGAGGAGAGAGACAGCAGCTCAACACCGAAATCTAGGTAGCAGGAGATCTCCAGGCCCAAACAGCCACACGTTATAACCCCATCCCACAAGATCAGGCATCACTTGGCAGCAGGAACCACGACCAACACCACAGCTTCCACCTGCAAGAGCCTCATGCTCCCTTCAGGCCCTCGACGGATGAAGCCACGTCAGGCGGTGGGAGCCGGCAGCAGGTCCTGCTCTGCCTGTGCATGAGCCCCCTCCACACCTCAATGAGGTGGGGAAAGGGCTGCCTTCCCTCCACACCAAACCCCCCCCAAGGCCACCACTGCCGCCCCAAAGGCCGCCCTTGGGGAAGGATCCCACAAGGCTCCCCTTTCACCTCTCACTACAAGCACCCCTCTCCCCCGCTCCCCCTTATATACCCTCTGCCCTCAACGCCAGCCAATCCGAGGAGGGGGGTGCGACGCCCCTTCCCCTCACGAGGCCAATGGGAGGCAGGGGCGCGAGGCACGCGGCCAATCAGGAGGCGCGGGTGCCCCTCACCACAGCTCCCCAGTGTGAGAAACCATCGCGCACCCCCCCCCCCCGCTTGGCGCCATCGGCCCCCCGTGAGGGCGCCCAACGGTCAGTCAGCCCCAACCACTCCGGCCCTAAGGGGGGGGGGGGAACGGGGGTGGCAGGGAGAGACCGCACCGGGCGGGTAGAGGAGAGGGGACGGCCCAGCAGCTGAGGCCTGGGGGAGCTGATCTAACCACGGGGAAAGAGGCCCAGAGTAATCGGGGATGGGAGAGGAGGGGGGTGCTGAGGTCCCCACAGCGCTGGGGGACACACGACAAGATGGCTATAGTACCCCCCCGCCACTGAGGTGCCGGGGTCCGGACTGTACCATCCAGGGAGGGGGGGAAACAGGGGTGGGGGCAACCCCTTCTCCCTCTGTCCGGGGCGGGTGGGGATCCCGGTTGGGGCGGGGAGGGGGGGGGAAGCGGACTGTACCTCTCCTGCGGGGGGGGGAAGGGGATTGACTACTCCCTGCTCCCCCCCCCCTACTCGCGGGACCGAACGGTTTATCCCGGCCCCAGCTCTAAGGAGCCGCCAGCTCCGGGCGCCATCTTGGGTGCGACTAAAACAACAAGTCCAAAACCCCCGGCGGGTCCCCGCGGCGGCCCCGGCTCGGGCTTCCCTCCCGGACCGTCCCATCGCGTTACCTGAGGGGGTCCCGTGCGGCTGCCGCGTCCCGGCCGCTGCCGCCGGCCCCGCTGCGGCCCCAAACCCCCCCACCTGTCCTCACCTCACAATGGTAGCTGCAGAGCGGGAGGGGGGGGCGGCCGCCCGGACCTCATTACCATAATCTGCCTGGCAACAAGGCGCGATGCCGCGCTCTGATTGGCTGAAACGCCTCCGCCCGCCAAGATGGGGCACAAAAGCCCTCCAGAAAAGCCTCGCAGAGGCCAGATCAGGGGGCTGGGGGGCAAGGGGGGGGGACCCCGGTCCACGGGGAGGGAAGGGGGGGGACCCGTGCCCCGGGCTCTACTCCACTCCTCGGGTAACCCGGGACCAATCAGAGCTCGGCTCTCATGCCCGCTCTGCTCCGCCGGAGGCCTGGCCACCAATCAGATCGCTCCTCTTATCGCAGCGCTCCGCCCCCTGCTGGGGAGGGTGGGAAGAGGTGCGTGGGGGGACGCGAGTAGCTCCCCCTGCTGGGCGGGCGGTGCGGTGCGGTCTGGTCTCCTAGTGACGGGCAGTGATTTATGGGCATCCCTCTTTTATATGACAGTGAGAGGCCAGATCCATGTCTTTCCCCCTCCTAGATAAGAAGATGAGCCTGAAATCTCTCTTTGCTCCAAGCCACCCATCTGGCAGTGCCTCGGAGTGTGATTATCCCAAATTGCATGAAAAACAGCAGCCCGGTGGGTTCTAGTGTGATTTGACTCATTCTTGTAAATTAAAAGCTGAAGCAAGAGGTATCAATACCTGTCAAGGGTCAGCCCCTGAGGAAATGCTCCCAAAAGGGCTCCTTCCATCCCAAGGGACCCAGATTGGTGCTGGCATTTCATTTTGTTTACATGGTGTCTGTATCCCAGAGTCCTAAATGTCAGCTCAGGGAAGGTTAATCATTATTATTGCTCAGAAATTTAACTAAGCAGCCATTCCAGTGGGGTTATAGCTGTACTTTTGTCACCATTTGTCTTAAAGAGGTGTTTGTATTACGGTGGCACGGCAATATACTGCTTTTCTGATTCCTTATTTGACATTAAAACACACTCTGAAAGCTATTTGAGGATGTATTTCTTAAACAAGACAATCCCTGTGTTTAGGACCTTTAAGGTTTATTCCCAATGGATTCATAAACTGCACGTATATCTCAACACCGTTGCACCAAAGCTGCAATGGGCCGCTGTGGCCAACTGACCCAAAGCACCCCCCAAACTGAGTACACTGTTCACCAAAACTGGTTCTGCTCCTTCTCTGCCCTAGGAGAATAGAAGGGTGGTGAGATGTTGGTGCAATGAAGTGTACTTCCCCACTGGGGCTGTCTTCTAAGAGCCTGGCCTAACCTTTTAAACCCTCACGTTGAGATGAAGCAGATCCTGAAGCCTGTTGGACTGACCCATCTTCTCCAGGAGCAACCAAGATGAGAGAGAAGAAAGGCAGAAATAAGTCTGTTGAGGACCTTGACCTTAAAATGGTAAATAAGAAGGATTTTAAAGCTGAAGGGAACAGAATTAGTCACCATTTAGATGTTCATTGGGGTTTTTCGCCCCTTGCACAATATTTTTTAGTCCCCTGGGCACTTCTCTTAGTTTGAATTATGAGTTATGGAGTCCATTTATTCTTCTATGCTATAAACCCCATATTGATTTCATTATACTGTGCTGAAACATTCGGATAACAAACAGGACAAGGAGATAGAAGACAAAGCTGCTTTATTTCTCCTCATTCTTAGCGGCTATGGGTGTTACTTTACAAAATCAAAGTGTTTCCAGTGCTTTATTTGTGTTTATAAATAGGGATTTCCTAATGTTTTCAGCACTTACAGGCTCTGACATACATGCTTTGTGCCATGTGTTCTTACAGACCCGCGGTTGGACTACTGAACACAAACCAGCACAAGACCTTCCCTGGGGCACAGATCTTATTCTGGAAGTTATCCCACAGTTTTCCCCCCGCCCTTTATAGCTTGGAAAGCCCCATTCAGGGCAAGCAGCAAGCTGCCAGATGCAGGAGCAGCAGCATGCTGGTCTGATTCATCAGCTGCAGTATCTGGAGGCTGATGTCATGCCTATTGTCCTGCCCGTATTTAATGGGGTTTGTGATGGTCTGAGCTTTGTTTTTGACCTAGCAGAGGTAGGAAAGTCTTCACATCAGGTTCATTTATGTATTTCTAATCATCACAGTTCAAATAAGCAATGTATTGCTCGGAACAGTGCTGTAACTCTTCATTAAATGCTCTTATTATCTTCCAGGTCATAAAATCCACATCTCCACCCCTGCACCTCCTCATCTCTCCACTGCCTCTGCTGCATGTGTCCCATCTTGTCTCTTCCCTCTTGGGGTAAGTTTATTTCCTTGATCCCGTTTTGAGAAGCACATTGATTAAAACACAACAAAGAGAAATGCTCAAGTGCTGTCATGCCATTGGAGTTAGAGAAGCAGATGATGCCTCGCTGAACCCCTGCACCCCATCTGTACGTGGCAAGTAGGGATTTGTGCCTAGATTTCCCAATGAAACCATGCATGGAATTGGGTTGTGCATTGTGGTACCTTCCCTTGTGCGTGTCAGCAGCTGGCTGTGATTTAAAGCACCAATCTAGGAGATGGAAAAGCTTCAGCTCTGTTCCTGTTCAAGCCTGCTAATTTATAATGCAACTGAAATGTAATTACTTGAATCCTGCACAGAGAATACAAACCATGGAGGTAGGGATGTGAGTTACCCCACTTTAATTCAATTTATTGTGGCTTGCCTTAAAGTGGCCTCATGGCAAGCAGAAAGACAACAAAGCCATTGCACTTTGGCTCTCTGTGTTGCTTCCCCCCAAAAGAGCTTAACCAGTTGTTTCAACAAGTGGAATTAATCCCCTTATGCTGCAAGGAAAGGTTTGACTACAAGAAGTTGGGGGTTAATGTGTCTCAAGAGCTTCTACCTAATGATTTAAAGCTAAATGGAAAACAAGCTGTTAAAGAAATTATCACTATTGACTTCCTTTTTGAGCTGTACCCACTCAAATAGCATTTATCCCCCAATAGTTAATAAGAAATACAGGCAAAAAGCACACTAATCAGTGAGGAAACAACCCACATAGCCCTCTATAGTCTTTACTATGCAGTTACTAAGGAGGTGCATCAAGTGTTGGAAAAGAGGAGCTTTGCTGCTCACCATGAAAAACCTATTTAGTAAAGGCACGCTGTGGTGTATGGAAGGGAAAATGAGATCTGGGTGCAACAGTGCCTGCAGGGAAACCACTTCACCACTCACACCTGTATCCCCTGCCTCCATTCTAACAGGATTTGTTAACACTGCTGCTTCTGATGGTGTCTCCAGATAGAAATCAACCAAGAAGGTTCACCATGTCACAAGGGCAGATGTAAGCTGAGGAAGGTGTTTGCCATACTTCTGGTGCTCCTGTGGAATCCTGGCCCTTAAGCCAAGCAGCCACGTGGTTGTGGTACCAGTAGCAAGGCCCAGTTCACAGGCAAGTACAACCAGGGCAGCAGAGCTGCTCTTTACATCGCAGCACTTCATTACTGGAGTATTTCCCAGGAAGCCCCATTGGATGCATGCAGTTCAACCTGACATCCAAATCAACTTCTTCAGCTGGATTACTCTTCAGTTAATGCCTCCATTTCTTCTCCAAGAAGGACTTTCAACCCTTATCAACCCTAAGTACTTCACTGGAAGTACTCAACTCCGTTGGCTCATTTTCCACTCCAGTTGAGCTGTCACCACTCCCCAGTTCTGGTTATGCAGAAGCATTGTTTTGAGTAGGAAGTGATTTGTGCACCTCTGCAAAGTCAATACAGAAGCTGTTTGGCTTTCCTCTCCATTAAGCAAACTGGAATGAGTCAGAAAACTATTACCAATGCGTTTTTGCTATTTGAGGTCACTAGAAAGTTGACTAGACATCAAACATTTAATATATTCAGGCATTATAATGATGTCTTCAAAAAATAATCCTTATTTTACAGGATTTAAAGCATTTCAGGTTTCCCCATCTTCAGCTCTAGGAAAGGATTTTAATACAGATCCTTTTGATAACTGCATTTTAACAAGCAATGATAAGATGATAGATGATATAAGAGACACTCTTACCCAGGCTGTGTTGGGAAAGGAGAAGTTTAGAGACGCTCCACCTGTTTCTGGATATGCTTAGCAGATTAACAGAGCCAAAGCTTTAGTTATAACTTACAGTAGATGTTCAGATTAGAGCCACATTTAACAAGTTACATTTTATGATCTAATTTAATGGATGTGCCAAACAAGCGTTCTGTTTATCAGGGCTTCCTTTAGCACATTAAAACACAAATCCCTGCACTGGGAAAACTCAGTATTATCTTTCCAACATGTACCAAGGTATGCCTCTGTCAGATGGTCACTCTGCCTCCTTCCCCAGCCCTTAGAAATCAAGAACACTGAGCTCATAGTTGGCAGGGGAGTCCATCACAGCCCCCACAGTCGATAACCTGAGCAGGTTTTCCCTTAGGAACAACTGAGACTTTTCTTCTTCCAGCCTTGAAGAAGAGATTAAAAACATCACTGAAGACAAGGGTGTTTTTTTTCTTCCTCAAGGTCCTTTTTTCCTTTCTTGTGCCAATGTTTAAACAGGGCCCTTTTTTCTTAGTGTGTATTTATAGACAGTAGTGATACCCATTCCTAAAGTTGATTTCCTCAGACTATTTAAGCTAAATTACTCTCATCTTCACTCATGTAGCACATTCCCCATCAGACTGACTACCCCCTCCGCTGTAGTGGTGCAACAGTACTTTTAAGAAGCAGCTTTCATCTTATGCAATGTGTTTTCCAAAGCCCTTATTGATTTCTAAGAGTAAAAGCTTCCCCTGGGTAATCTTTAGCTCTTACCCAAAAGCCTGGGGAGGTACTCACCAGCTCCAGTGTCATCCTTCAACACCTGAATGAGGTGAGCAATGCTGACCTAGAAACAGCAGTCAGGATCATCTCCATATCCAGGTCAGCAGGCAAGATCAAGAGAATGAGGCAGGTGCTTGGGCCAGACATGAAGTAGCTGTAGATTAGCAAGGACAGTCAGGATTACCCAAAATCCATTGATCACTTGTCAAATCCACAGCACTGAGACTAATTGAAGAGAAAGCTGGAAAGCTATAGCCAAGTGTAAGTGCCACTAAACCAAAGCTCAGGGCTACACTACAAGCACTAGAAACAAGTGATGTCCCTAGGGTTGGCTTAAATAGAGCTTCTGGGCCTATGGATGGACACCCCAGGTGAAGCTGTTTAGGGTAAGTGTGGTTTCAATGCTGTAGGTGAGGTTTGTGTCTATAGGAGCTCTGTTTTGTGGTAATTTTGCTGTTTTTCTTTGAGGTTTGTTATAGAGCTTGACTTAAATGTACAATTTTCAGTGCTTGTTGAAAGTTTATGGGTTTAGTTCAAGAAAAATTGGCTTATAATTTTGGAGAGGGCTGCATGTGTTGGTTTTTTTGAGCTTTGAGTCTTTGCTGCCCATGTTTTCATAGCACAGCAGTTACAAAATCAAACTCTTGACAGCCCAAATCCCACTGAACTTTCCTCACAGGCTTCTGGAATTCTATAGTTAAGTAGAAACAACTTGTTTGCAGTATAGGTGATTGTGTGTTGCTACGAGCTCTTCTTGTGGTCTTTCACAGCACCTCACCCTGCAGCAAGCCCTATGCAAGCAGCCACCAGCAGCAGCGTGGGGCTCTATTGATTTAGATGTCATTCTCAATTGCATTCAGAATGTTTTTTGCAGAGCAGCTCTTTGCACTTGGCTGGGTCCTTGAAGAGGATGTTTGCTGCAGCACAGGGGAAATATTTACTGTGGTGAGTGATTAGTTTAAAAGAGGGGATGTTTTGCAGTGGAACTGAGTTTGAATAGTAAGTATATTCCACCCACCTACAGGCAGATAGCTGAAGGCTTTGCAAAACAAGCATCTTAAGGGAACAGTAGGTATCAAATGAAGTGAATATATGGTAAGTGTCAAGGTTTGTCAGTGAGTTCAGTGCTGCCTTACCTCTAAAGCTGACCAAAAGGAAATGCTATGACCTGAGACAGGCATTAAGATTGAAGCTGTAGCCTCTGCCCTGGTACAGATGGTTACAAATGGAAAACTGCTGCTGCCAGACAGACAGGGAAAACACGAGGATTTGTTGCTCAGAGGAAAAACACAGAGTTGCCCAAAGCTGGGAATTCTGGCAGATCATCTGCTGTCTTTCAAATGACAGTGGAGGAGGGATATAGACTGCAGGATACAGAGAAATAAGCTATCAAGCTGCCTCACCCAAATCCTTTGGTGAACAGAGCACTGTTATTTGGAGCCAATTATCAACACACACACACAACCCCCCCAGCCACCCCCTTTTTGTTGCTTGTAGGCTTAATCCTTGTTGTTAAAGCCCATGTGATGTTTTCCAGGTGCATCCAGTGTGATGTATTGAAGGTGTGCCCAGGCGCTGGGCCAGTCTGACCCAAAACAGAGGTGTTTTCTTCAAAGCAGTGGATTTACACAGTAAGGTGAGAGCATTCTTTCCCCCACAGCTATGACAGGACTTGGCATTTCTCTGTTATTACAGGCTTTGAACTCCTGTAACCTCAGCCTGCATACAGTGGAAAAAATCAGGCTTTGCTTGCCTGAGCATGGGGCTGCAGTTCCCAATGTGTTTTGATGCTGTTCCAGGTGAGAGTGCTCCTGTGTCCTGCATCCCAGTACATTTGCTCTGCCTCTGTCTTGCAGGAATCCTTCTGGACATTGCTACCAAGAGCTTTGCTGTCAGTAGAAAGGAGATTTCCCAGTGCTCTCAAATCCATTTGCTCCGGAAGGCTGTCTTTAAAGCCAATGCACTCCAGTGGGAGCTCAGGTAGGATCTGGCTTGTAAGCTTGATCAAAGGATGCCAGAATTTGCCTTCTGGTTTCCAAAATGCTCTGGATTTGCTGGTTAGTGAATTTGCTTGAATGGTAAAGGACTAAGGGTGTTCCTTACAGCAAATTTGGAGTCATTTTCACTGGGAGACTTGCCAGCTGCAGGCTCATCCAAGCAATAGCTGGTTTTTACACTGAGAAGTCTCTTTGTTACTGTGGTGAGGTTGTCTTAAGTTGTTATTGCAGTTGCTGAGGTCTTTCGGCAGGCAAAGGACAGAAATATGCTTCAAATGCTTCTCAAACCAATCTGATCCAGCTGAATTCATGTCCCTGGCAAGCTCTGCATCATCCAAGAATACCCTAACAAGTTGAAAGAGTCATTTCACATCCTTGTGGCCCTCCCTGAATGCAAAAGCCTGGCTGTTAAATGAGTGTTACCTCTTCTGTTCATCTTTCTAATGAATTCCGGAGCCTGGCTCCCCATCCCCTGTCCCCTCCTCAGTAATTGCCTGCAGAATGTGAAGGAAGCCTGCTGGTGATGCCTGTTCTCGTGTTTCCCTTCCCAAGTTTATCCTTTATCTAGTATTATTTGAACCTATTTGCTTTCTCTTACAGTGGTTGTGGAAACAATGCTTAACAAAATGGGGTTGAATTTCATAAAGAGCAAGTGCCACACAGCAAAAGCCCATTAAAGGTGTGATGCAGACTAAAAGGCAAGTCAGTATTCCTGCAGCACCTGCTGGGGGTTTATCTCCTTGTCAGCTATTAAAGAAAACCTCCTTAAAGGCTGAATGTGGCTTGATATCATAAATCCACACTAAAAATGCAGGCTCCTCTCCCTATGGAATAATAGTAAATCATGCCATTGTTGGAAAGCTACTGGCAAGCGTTGGAATGGAAGAAGGAAGAAAGGCTCAACCTGTGTGGTGTTTTTCCTGCCCCTATTTCAAAGACCTGTTTTGAGCAATGCAAGAACCTTCCATGACATGAAAGTAAGAGCTTGTGTAGCCATAAACTCATTTGAATCTGATTTTTTCATTGCTGTGCTTCTTGGTAAATGATTTCCTGCCCTGTGCCAGATGCTGTTTTCATTCACAATGAAGTAATAGTCCTCTGTGAGTGATCTCACAGTATCCTACCACAGCCCTTATTGTGACTTCTCAAATTTAACATGCTCAAATGCAGCCTTTGTTGGTTGTTTGGGGACTTGGAGATCTGGGGTTTGATTGAAGTTGGTCTCTAACAAAAAAAGGGAGCACAGAGCCTGGGGACCTGGGATAATTTGCAGCAAAACACAGAAACAAAAGAAGGGCAGAAAGGGGAAGTTTGACTGTTTCATATAGTCGATTTTTCTCATACAGACAGAGGCAAAATTTGATGCAAGGCTTGTGTTATTTGCTGCTTTTCAGGGTTTGAAATGGTGCTTAACTGTGGACCACACCAAGGTTGTCTGATGGATCAGCAGGTAGCGTTACCCAGGGGGACCAGGCCTGGGGTCTGATCTATTCCACACCATTGCATGTTCTCCCTGTCCATAGCTCATGCTTTGCACCTAGGCAAGTGCATCTGAATACAAGTTATTTGTAATTCAACTAGATCACAGGGTTAGACCTTCCAAAAGATGGCTAGAGGCTTTGCAGCTCCCTTTTAGTGATCTGTGGGCTTGGTATCACAATGGCACAGCTCCATCCTTTCCTGCTATAAGGCTCATTCAAAATGGGCTATGTATTTGTGCCAGTGTGCATAGAATTGAATCCTTTTGCAGGCTTATATAAAGGTATATCTTCCAGAAGACAGAACAAATACAAGGAATCCAGTTGAGTTCCTTGAGGCCTGGTCATGCAAAGAGTGGAACACTCAGTCTTAAATGCAGGTTAGAGCACTTTGCATCCCCCGTGTCTGTGGAAGGCTGTAGTGGTGTGACTATGTACACATATAGGTGTTTAAGCACTGTTTGATCTAAGGATATAATTATCCTTATAAAACACTTATTATTTCTTCCCCTTAGGAATAAACTGGGAATCATGGAAAAAGAAAGTGAGATGGAAGACACTCCTTTTGACATTGGGAAGTGAAAACTGATTGAAGGTCTTTGTCAAGGTGGCACTTCCTTGGAGAGCTTTCTAGCCTTTCCAGTCAGCAGAGGAGCTGGCAAGCAGGTCTGTCATCCAGCTATAGTTTCAGGTAGCATGGAAAAGGTATCACTAGGGTGAGAGAGGTATTTATAATACTTGATAGAACATTGATATCTTTAAATGGGATGTTAAATAGGAAGCATGGTGAAATTTTGCCCTCCTGGAGACTGCACCGGGTAATAGGTGGAGGAGAAACTTAACCAAAAGCAGTTTTGAGAGAGCTACTGAAACACAGCTGAATGAAGATGTTTGCCTGACCAGCAAAATCTGTATTCATGTGGCGAAGGGTTCATTACTCATCCTGCGATGCTTTCTGAAGTGTATTTTTGTATCATCATTTCCCATTTTAAATGCAGCTCTGAAATCCCAAAAGGGAATTAACTGCCAGGCATTTGCATTTTAAAGGGAAAAACTCAAACCTCGGTAGAGTGCTCTACTTAAGACTCCTTTTATATAACTTAGCCAATCAGCTCCATCTCATTGGAGACCTTAGGGAGTCAACCCTAAGACAAGGTAGGAAAATCCAGACTTGGAAAAAGCCTTGTAATCTGCATCATGAAATGCAGGATATGGTGGTATTGGTGGGGAGGTCTTCTGTGAACTGGTGTCTTCATTATTGTGTGACTTTGGGGGGATAAAAAGGGACCTTCAGGCTTTGGCAAACTGGGATGGCAAAACACAGGATACCCACTTTACCTGTGTGGGAGGGGAAAATGATAGCAAAAACACTAAGCTGTAAATGAAAAAGAGCAACTTATTCAAAACAGAGACCACTCTGGGCTGACTTGTCCTCTGAGTAAATGTGATTTGGGGGTGGGATTGAGGAGGTTGTTCTCCCCTCAGGCCATAGGGTTAAAGCTCTATGTGGTCCACTCCTTCCCTTGGAGACATTGGGATTCCTCTTCTACCCAGATGACCCAGTTCCTTTCAGCTGCATCTTGCTGGGTGCCTTTATTCAACTGGAACAGACTTCAAGTACGTGGTTTCTTTCTTATTGCCAAGAGAACCTGTATTCTAACTTCTTGCTGCCTTAGAAGCTTCAAAGCTCTGACAGTCCTGCCACTTCTTTCTTATGGCCCTCCAAACAACTCTGTTGTGAAGGTTATAATAAAGCCAGTGCAGAATATGAAGCCACTCTCTTGAATAAATTCATACATGAATAGTACTAGAGAGCAGCATCTGTATTTAGGGCATTTAAAGTTTTAGAGCAAGGTCTAAAAATGTGAATTCCTGTGCTTGGGGATGCCTAAATCCCACTGATTTTTCCCTGTAAATATCAGAGATGAGACTGCTCATCAGCATGAGTACCTTCAGCTCCTTCCTAAGTGTGATGTGGTGACAGGCCCTGGAGGGCAACGCTGCAGGTCCCTGAGGCACCAGCTCCCTTGCTTCAGGGTGTGTATTCTGGGAAGCTAAAGTAAATATTCCTGTGTTGACATAAAACTGGGTGGTTGGGAGCCACCTTCTAATGATGACTGTAACAGGAAATGTTACACAAGGATATCAAAGAGTAAGGAAGGGAGTTTTGGTGTAGTTAAATGCACCAGCACTTAAGACTACTGTGCTACTGGTGGGAAAGAACACTTCCCAGGGCTAATGCTGTATCACACTTGAGATCCAGACACTGTACAACTCCTCATTGTCTGTTGCTGTGTTGGAAGTTACTTCCTAACACACCCTGTTGCTTGGAGGCTGAGTAACAGCACAAACAAGCAATGGGGGGAAGAAAGGGGTGACTTTGGTGTGCCATCAAGGAGCTTGTCAGCACAGGTTATTCCATGCAGCAGGCACTGAATCAGAGCTGATTGGGAAGGAGGGGCAGGTTTTCTGTTGTTGAATTGCACTGATCTTCAAAGCTGCTGGAAGTGATTCTGCGTTTATTCAGCACCCTGAGTCCTGAGGTTTTGAGATTCAACATTGTTCGCCGCTGTTTGTTAGGATGATTTGGCTTTTAATCCACCAGTGAATACTGAATGAAGAATATCGTTGTGAATCAGACCTCCTCTTGCTTGCCAGTCACACAAGCCATTTTTATTTTCAATTTCAGGTTCTTTTACCATCCAGGCCAAAAATTAGGAGTTAGAAGCTTAAACAGTTCCTCTCCAGCGAGTCTCCTGCTAACATCACTGCTTAATCCTTCCATTATGTGTGATATCGTTAATCATTCCACTGTAATATTTGACACACATTTGTGGGACAAATTTAGTTCTAATCTAAAAGCTGCAATAACAGTGACTTATGTGGAACGGCAGCTAATTAGAGCATAGTTGAATTTTCATCTCTTGTGAAAGACTTGTATAAAATGAACAACCTTTCACACTGTTGAAATGAGACTGTCGGAGTGAGACGGGCTAGCAGATGAGGGGAGAGGGGAGGAAGGTTATCCAAGGATAAGAGGAGAAATCTGTGTCATAATAAGCTGATACCCGTGCAAAATATGCTCAGTTGTTGGTGGATTCTTCTTGATTGTTGTGTTTTTCTTTAAGCTCTCTTATGGCTCATGGTTTGGTTGCCTTGATATCCAGGTGATTGATCCTGCCATCTACAGAGACTAAGCGACACTTCTGCCATCGCAGTGGGCTACAAGAGATGAATATGACAGGATGCCTCCAGCCCATTGTGGGAAGATACTGCAATGCAAGAAGGTGAGTTTACTTAATCTTTCCTGCAATGCAGCTTCTTTTCTCTCTAAGACACTTATTGGTAGACCTCTAGATTCTTGCCTTCAAGTTCCATGCATCAGGTTGAGTGTTTGCTACAGCTCTTGAAAGAAGATCCAGGCATGATTCTTCAGGCCTCGAGATCCTGCCAATGTCCAAAGCCATGGATCCATCTGAAGAGAGAAAATGAGCAGCATAAATACCCAGTTTGTATATTCAGAAAACTGATCCATAGCTGAAAAAGGTGCTTAGTGTCTCATAGTTTTGCATTTGGGCTCCTAAATATGAGCCCACACTTAGTACTTTATTGAACTACATATCAGAGGTTATTTCCTGCATAGCGACTCCTACAGATGTGCAAATCTATTCCAGCAAAGGACTGCTTGTGTCTTTGAGACGCTGCTTTTGCCTTGGGTAGTCTTCATCTTCAAAAGAAGAAACTGTTCAGCTCAACTCACTGTTACTGTTGGTTTTGCCCTCCATCTAGAGAGCAGAGGAGGTGGTAGACTTCACACGTTAGCTGCCTGCTGAGATTTGTATGCAGAGTTCTGAAGGAGCAGCAGCTTCCTTTAGCAGCCACATCCCTGTTGTGCTCACCTTAAGCATCCTCAGTTGATGTATGTGTCATTTTCCAATGCGTTGCCACCTCTTCTGTGCTGATGTACTTCAGCAAAGCAGTGATACTCCTGAACCTAAAAGAAGGGGCTGTTTTGAGGTTTGCAGTTATGGGAGCGTGACTATTAATGTTTCCTTAATGGTCTGTTACATGCTGTAGGCGAGGATTGTGCTGTTTGAGATGAACATAGCACAAACTGCTGATTGAACCTCTTCCCCCCCAAAAAAAATCTCAGAACACCTGCATGGAAAGCAGATTAATGGCATGGAACAGGAGCAGTAGGAAAATGGCCATGAAGACATAAGGATTCATTGATATGATAAAGGGAAGACTTTTCCCTTCCCTGCCAAGCCCTTTTAAAGATGTCTTTGAGGAGAAACAGGCTTACACTCCACCCTTATTTACTGTGTCACTCCTTCTCTTAGATTGCTGTGCTGGTTTCCTACAATTACTCCTTTCAGTCCTGTTTTTCCTATCTGTTTCCATTTGCAAGGCATCTGTTTTCTTCATCCTTCACTGTATTCCCACAGGAACCCCTTTTATTTAAACTCCTGCCTGCCTTGTGTTATCTTTCAAGGCCTGGAAAGTCTCTGCACTTTGTGTTACCCTCTTTCTATGGAACACCTTTATTCTGTGTGTATACCTTGTACCTTAAGCCCAGCTTCTTCAGTGGTTTCCTTCATCTCAGTGCTGCTGGACTTCCTACACCTTCTCTGCAGTGCGTTTCCCTGCAGATGGAAGACTGAGCTTCAAACCAGCAGACACCCTAGACTTCCACCAGGAAATCTTGCAGCCAAACACAGATGTTTGTGGGGTTTGGAGTATTATGTCCCACAGGCACTGCCATAGCTGGATGCTGGATAAAGGAATAGTTGGCTGATAAGTTTTGCATTGCTTTATGCCCCTCATACAGCCTTGCTGATGGGGAGACCTTGTCCTCAAGCAGCGTGGCTGGTGATGAGTTGTGGTAGCTAACTGAACATCATTCATTCAGGTTCAGTATTCCTTACAGTGCTGAACTGTGCTGGAAAGAGCTCCCTTTACAGTAGCCCACCACATGCTGTGGCCATTTCCATCTGCACTCTACCTCCTAAACCCAAGGCTGACTCAGCTCTTCCTCTGCAACCTCTAACTTGTCCATACCTGGCACATGGAGCTAGTAGGAATGATACTATCTGCCCTTTACAACTTGAATTAAGCTTTTCAATTAAAAGAGCTGCATCACATTAGCTCTTCCAGGCTAGATCAATTTTATGCTTTAATTTGTGGAGTTTTAATAGGATGGTGAGACTATTCAAAGTCTTGCTCTCTTCTCTGAGCTCATTCTGCTGGTACTGGCAGGACCTCAGCACTAAGTTGCTGCTCCCAGTGACTTTAATGGTACCAGACACATTCCTTGGCAACGTCTGTTTGCCCTTTTTATCAGGAGTTTAACATTGCCCTTAAAGGGCATGTTTTGCAGTCATAAATATGCTCTTTGCATTTACACAGTTGTGGTCTTGCAAGTGATAACGGGTAGAGATGTTCACTTGAAACTCTTTACAGAATAAACAGCAGCAGTCAAAGCTGAGCATGACATTCTCAGTGCTTTGTTAGCACAGATGTACTGGGAAAAGGGCCCCAAAAGCCCTGGAACCAAGCATAGAAAATGGGATTCTTGGAAGTAAATGTTAACCCTGTTTAGTAGGTGGCAGCTTCCAAGAGGAACGGCGTTCTAAGGAATGCTGCAGCATTGCAGCATTCATTCCAACTGGTGCTGTTGTCAGAGGCAACAGATAACCTCCTTGTGGATTCATACCTGGAATATATCTACATGTTGAATTAACCATGACCACTGTGAGTGTCAGCATCCCTGCAGCAGTGTAACCTGCTGTTCCTATGTTGACTAAGTGCTCATCTGAAAGCCACCACCTCCAAAGCCTTTCCATGCTGCAAGTGTGGTGTTTTCTCACCTGCTTGGACCACATCTGCATTCTGCTGGAGACCATCTCAATTTCCCTTCCTACCTGCTACCCAGCAGTCATGAATTGAGTTGCATATGAGCATTAAGGAAAGAACAAGCTCCTGTGGCTTAGAACCTCCTTTTTTTGGGGTGACTGATCTCTATATGAAGGGGAATCTGCTATTCTTCAACTAGTGATTTGTCACTTGTTTTTACACAGGGAGCTGAGCACTGATGGTCAGGAATACACTGTGTTGCAGCCTCATGGCAGTGCTTCCATGCTGTTGTGTCTGCAGTGTAGAACTAGGAGCAGGCTTACTGAAGGTGAGGTCATGCTCATCTGTGACTTCCCCAAAAGCTGCCAGATGGAAGTGGCTTTGCAGAACAATGAGGATAACACTGTTGTGATGGAGCTGTCTCATTAAACATACTCCAAATGAATCAGGTATCTGTTTGGTATGTCATGGCTGCATTGGGGAATGCCACTTGTTTTGATGTTAACCACCGGTGTCCTATCATGAAGTGCTATATCCCTGTGGCTGTGGGAATTCACCTTATTGTGGGGTCCTCATCCTTTTCAAGCCTCTGTACTTAAGATGTTGGTGGCTTGAGCTGCAGGTCACCAAGCACCTCTTGCAATCATGACCTTGCTTTCTTTTCTGCCCTCAAAATCAAGTCTTCACATCACCCCAATTAAAAAGCCTTTTTCTTTCCTGCAGCTCATTCTGCCATGAGGGGGTTGTGAACACGAACACCAAGCACTACATAAATAGTAAGTATTAAAAGTATATTAATTTATATAGCACTTAAAACGCTATATAAGTTCAACCTTGAAAGAAAGCCCTTAACCAAAGCTTTCTAAAGAGCTTGTACATTTCGACCTGGGGAGAAAGGGAAATACATCCCTTTAAGACAAGTGAAAAGCTTAACTCAGTGTCCTGTTATTTACATGTGCACAATCAAGGATTTGCACTAAATCAGTTGCCAAAACTCCATTTTCCAGCTGAATTTGGCCCAGGTGGGAAGGGAATTACATATGCCAGAGGGAATATACACCAGGACTGCAGTAAAAGAGATTTAAGGGGTTTGAAATACTGTAGAAAAGACCATAATAAGCAAGTAGTGGTCCAGTCAGCTGGTTTAATTACAACAGGGCTGCTTATTGATCTAGAATAGAGATTTACCCCCCGACCTGCAACACTTCAGCAATATTCCCTTTGCCCATTTAAGACAATAGTGCTTCTAAGAGCCATATAGAGAATATAGAAGTTGAGAATGGAAGTCTTTAACTCTGAGTTTGGTCTTTTTTCCACCTTATCTCCATCCAAGTGACTCAAGTATGTGACTCAAGCCAAAGAAAAGGCTAAGAAGGCACTAGTAAGAGTATGGAAGGGCGACTGTAGCAGCAGCTTGGTAGCCCTTTGTTCCGGATGGGCTTGATTATTTAGTTCCTTGCTATAAAAGGCATGTGGTGAAATTAAAATAGGGTGAAATGAAAGCAGTATTGGTGCCAAAATTGGGTTTAAAGCTTAAATGTGTCCTTAAATAGTGCTGTTTGCTGTGGCAGGGCATCTGCATGGGAAGGAACCAGAGGTAGAAGACGGGAAGGCAGTGATGATGATGATGGTTATGATGCTGTATCATAGAGATATGTGTCCATTTAACTACCATGTACAAAGAGCTTTGCTGCATTTACACAGGGTTGTGGTGCGTCTTGTGCTGCCTTTGTAGCACCCCATGGTTATTTGCCCTCTGTGTTGGTGACAGGATGAAGCAGTTGGTGATTATTATCCAACAGCTCTGTTTTAAGGAGAAAAAGGAATAAAAACTTAACCACGATATCATTGGTTTTCATTGCACACCAAGCAGGCCTTGGAGCTTGTGGGTAGCACAGGCATCAAGAAACTGGGCCTAGATGTAGAGATAGCTTTATTTTATAGGGGGGAAACTCACTGTTTATAGCAGAAAAGATGAGGAAATTGCCTTGTTTTCCTTTTATTACTACACCCCTCTCTTTGCAGTGGGGGGGGGAGAAGGAGGGAGGGTTTATAGCCTATAAGCCCCCATCTGGCCCATGGCCATAGGCCCCGTGCCCCTTTATACTCCCATATATAAGAAGTTGATGGCTGGTCTATGTTTATGGTCTATAACACTAACGGAGGGTGGAACTCCCGCCGGGCTTCTCCCTCTCATGCTCTCCACACTGGCCGCCATTTTCGGGCGGAGAAGACACTCACCCCCCCCGTGGGCGGGGCAACAGGCCCAGCGCCTCCTCCTATTGGCTGGTAGCGCGAAAAGGGGGCGTGCCTCCTACCCCCAGAAGTCCTCACCCACCTGGGCGAGCGGCGGCGCGGCGATTGGCTGAAGCGGGGAGGGGTTTGCGTGACATCACCCCTCTCCCTCCTCACCATTGGACGAGGCGGCGGGGAGGGCGGGGCCTCGTGAGGCGGCTCCCTCCGAGGGGGCTCCGCGGCCGCAGTAGCGCTTGGGCGGCGGCGGTGGCGGGTGGAGGCGATGGGGTCAACGTTGCGCTTCCCGTTCTTGCTCCTGCTGGGGCTGGCTGGCCCCGCGGCCACGCTCGCTGGGTACATCGAGGTGGGTACGGGCCGAGGGGGTCGGTGCCGCTGCCCGCTGAGGGAGCGGGCCCCTCCTGGGAGGCTGCCTGGGCGCCGGGTGTTGGCTGGCGGCGGAGGAGAGGCCGCGGTGGGACTTTATCGCCATCTTACCGGGTGTGGATGAGAGCCGGGCGGTGCGTTACCGGGCTCCGGTGGGCAGGAGGTGCGCTGAAGGGAGAGGGAGCTGGAGCGGCTTCTTCCTTCTCATAGGGTAGGCGGTGATGGGTCCGTGTCTTCAGGCAAAGCGCTTCCAGCCCGGATACCGCGGGCCTCGGGTCGGGATTAGGAGCTTCGTCCCGCTGGGATGCTCCGGGGTTGGGGCTTGCTTTGGGAAGTGACCTCTGCGTTGTTGGCACCGTGCAGGAGCGGTGAGCTTCGGATTGGTCTAGAAGCTTAGGAAGAGTATTAGAGGGCAGTTTGGGAGAGAAAAGCCTCGGTTAAACGGATCCGTTTGATTGCGTCCGCTTGGTAAATCCAGAATAAATCCTAGGGTTTGAGCCGTTTCCTTGTTTTTGTTTTTTTTTGGAGGGGCTGCTTCAGGAAAGGGTTAAGGGTTTGCAATGGATATGAAAATGGCTTAGATATCACAATATATATGCGTATATACACGCACATCTGTACCTGTGTATATCTATGGACATACTACGTTCATATCTCCACATTGAAGTAATTGGAGGGTGGGGATAGCCTAACTGTACCCCATACACATCTACACCAATATATGAATATGTATTCCATCTGTCTCTCTATGAATGGAGTTGGGGGGGGGGTATTCTAACTGTACCCCGGACACCCACATCACCACCAATACCCGTGTATATACATGAATATATATTACATTTGCCTCTCTATGAATGGAATCGGAGGGGGGGAAATCCCGACTTTACCCCTAAACCCCCAAAACTTTGTGTGATTTCTCGATCTCAACAGCAAAATGGGGATGAAAAGACCCCGATTGAAGACCTTCATACCATAACCTTCCTTTTCGAGTGAAACAGCAAAACAAAGGGCAAAGGACGTGCTGGGCTTCAAAGGTGGCACATCAGTAGGGTTTAGGAATCAGTGTGTGCTTGTTGGTTGGGGATACAACTGCGTTGTGTAGGTTCTGGGTTATTGGATGGATAAAGAACGGGCTAGTGGCTGTTGTGCATGGCTTGACTTGCTGGTTTGCAGTAAAATCAAGCAGGTTTGGTTAAGCAGAGCATCTGCCTCTCAAACCTGGAGCTGGGGGTAATGAATGAGTGGCTATGAGTGGGGCTCTCTAATAGCTTTGCATGTGTGTTGTGTGATACCAGTCAATGACTTCTGGACAGCTATGGAGAACAGTGTTCCCCTTCCCTGGGACCATCCCTGCTGTTCCGTTGCCATAAATCAATGGAACGTGGTGGTAATTGTCACTGGGAGAAGGGGCTGCGCTGAGGGTGTCAGATCCGGTTGCTTGGCTTTGCCTTGGTGGAAGGGGACTGCCCTGGCTGCCTTTGGGGTGGCCACGTTAAATCTGAGCTCTCTGCGCTCGTTTGGGAACTCCTCCAGCTGCAGGTCACTTCCTCTGTCATATCCGAGGCTAATTCCAGCCCTGTGCACATCCCTTTGGGAAGCCGCTGCTATGGACTACAGAATGCCAGCTGTAATTTCATCCCGAAGCCCGGTGTCCATCCGATGAAACAGATCCTGGGATTTGCCACTCACAGGATGGGCAGAGGGATTGGCTAAAGGAGCCCTCAGCACCCCAGGAGGGGCTGGCAACCCATGAGAAGGGGGGTGTTGATGGCAATGAAACCCTTATCCTGTGTTAGGGCTGGGTTTGCAGGCTGGTGTGGGGCAATGGTAGCGTCCCTCCTGCAGCACAGTGTGCATCCTCTCAAGACACGACAGCATCCACTGACACAAAATGTCACTGGAATTCCTCCTTTTGCTGCATCCTCTCCCGTTGCCATGTCTGTGGGGGACTGCAGCTCTCCGGGCTCTGTTGCTGCCAGGTTTCCTCATGGATGCGGAGCTTAGGGAGCGGAATGGTTGCTGGTTTGGGGTTTTATGCTGTGATGCTTACTGGATGCTGCCAGATAACAGGATGACAAATAGACAGGAGATTGCTTATTTATTATTTGTAGTAATAAAGGTGATGTTTGAAGATGGAGTTAAGGAAAACCCATAGCAGTGATTAGTTTAGTTGGATTGGCACGGTCCCGTTTAGGTGGATTTGCTTTCCTTGATGACCTCAGCCACCATTCCCTGTCCCTAGAGCACCCAATAATCCTCTTAGGGACCACGATTTGGGTTTCTGCCTTTCTTTGCCATCAAAAACACACATCTGGGAGTGGCAGATGTGTCTTCTCATTTGAATTACTGGTACCTGAACCTTTGTCCAGGGCGTTCCCAAGGGCTGGTGGCTGGGGACAGTCAGGCTCCCTTTCAGCTCATTGTGGTTGATGGCAGGTAACCTTTAACAGTGCCTTTTCTGGATGAATCCGAATAGAAGAGCTTGGGGGAATCACTGATGCACAGCTATTGGTGGTGTATTTGAGCAGTGTGTGTCTTGGGGTTGTGCTGGATTTGGTGCCTGCTGCCACAGTGACGTTGATGCCAACTGGGAAAAGAGGAGGAATTGGATGTGTATCCCAGTGATAAGCTATCTGTGTGGTGCCCTCAAGGCCTTTAAAGATGCAAAGTTTCTTCTTTATCACTTGACCTTTTAGTCTAATCAGACCAGAGGCAATGCAGACTCGGTATTGCTTCTCTTTAATCAGGTTTGCTTCCAATGGCTGTGTCCAAAGCTCTCTCAGTGCTTACTTGTCTGTTCCAAACCACCAGGATTTGGGGTGAGATTCCCCCCCCCCAGCAATGTGTTTTGCAGCAGAAGGATGTGTTTTGTGTTATCCTTTCTGCGTGCTTCAGTTTGCACCGATAGAAATGAGCCTTGTGCCATTTCTGCAGCCCTTGGGGACTTGTAATTGCCTGCTGCATTGAACAAAGAACTCCACCTAGGGGAAATTTCCACTCCTCTGTTGAAGTCCCGAGGAGAAACAGTAAAATTCCAGCCTGGAGCCTGTGGCCTTTGATTTCCCTCACACTTCCCACTAACTGGTAGGGAATTGAATTTCCTATGAAAGGGGTGCCTCGACAAAAGCATCTCTGAAGCAGAGCTGCGTGCGAGGGGATAAAGCCCATCAGATGGACATCAGCTATTGCAGAGGCTCTGGAATTCCTGCTGCGTTGTGGAATGCCGTGGCAAGGTAAGCCCTGCTCTTTGGAGAAGGCCTTCAGCTCCTCTTGTTTCACATGTGGAATATTTATGGTCTCTCTCTCAAACGGGTTTTGGGCATTAATGTCTCTACCGATGGGTTTTGTTGTTAATGTGTTTGTTGTGTCTCCTGAGAGCTGCTCAAACCTATTGTGTAGGTGGCTTTTGCTGGGTGTGAGCTTTATGATCATCACATACAGCTACGCCTTCAGCCCCTTACAGTGCAAAGGAAGGATGAATGCAGTGTCAGTGCTCTGTACACCATTTAAGCTTCTCCTTAGGTGATGCTTGTAAAAATGATACCTGTTTTTTACTCCTTATGTGTCTTCTTGGAGGCATTTGGACCTTAATAGAAGTCTATAGAAGTTATTCTGACTGTAGCATCTGCTTCTGCGTGTGTACTTAAACCATAACCTTGGTCTTCAGTTGGAAATAGAGGAGAAATGCACTATCTTGGGGGAGCAGTTGGACTTGATGATCTTGAAGGTCTTTTCCAACCTAGTTGATTCTATCTGCCATTATCTGCCCTTTCTACTCCCCATAGCTCTTTGCAGGCAAGTGGTTTATCCTACCACAGCTTTTATCTTCCTGTTTGTCTTAAATAGAGTCTTTGGGGCACTTTGTATTCATTTTGTTATGTGCATTCCAGTATTGCTGTTTTTCAGCTTTGTTGCTGCGCTAAGGGGTGTGGAGAGAGGGAACAGATTGACAGCATGGCACAAAGCCTCAAAGGAACTGTATAGGTGCATGTATTTATTGTTTGATTACTACTAAGTTATAAAGCAGCAAAAATGAAGATGTGAGTGAAGTAAATGGGCAGGTTTCTCTTTATTGTGGCCTGACCAAGTGGCATACTTGTTTTTCTTTGATTCAGGAGGTCTGGTGGCTCCTCACTGGATGCAACAGGCTAAAGGGTAACTTCAGCTAAAACAGGGCAAGTTGTGCTTCAGGTTGCGTGCTGTAGGGGAAAGAAACGAGTGAATTCCTGAGAGACCAAGCACAAGGAAATGTGCGTTTCAGAAGGGAGAGTTTGGCTGGGTTTAGAGGAATTTCTAACCATTAGGTTTGCAGATTCACTTCCTTCACCCCATCTTCCAGTGCCTAAAGGGATGCAGGAAACCTGGAGAGGGGCTTTGGACAAGGGATGCAGGGACAGGGCAAGGAGAATGGCTTGAACCTGCCCGAGGGGAGACTGAGCTGAGCTCTTAGGCAGAAGCTCTTCCCTGTGAGGGTGCTGAGGCGCTGGCACAGGGTGCCCAGAGAAGCTGTGGCTGCCCCATCCCTGGCAGTGCTCAAGGCCAGGTTGGATGTGGCTTGGAGCAAGCTGCTCCAGTGGAAGGTGTCCCTGCCCTTGGAACTGAGTGAGCTTTAGGATCCCTTCCACCGGTTGTGATTCTATGTTTAAAACACACAATTGCACCTCTCTGTGTGCTTGTCCCAAGTTCCAGCTTGGGCTGAACGATGAGAATCCTCATGTTCTGCAGACAGTGTTAAAGGCATCCTTCTGGCAGCAAACCAGCCTGCTTGGCTTTATGTAATCAGGGACCCACCTGACCAGAAATGCATGTGGCTAAGCTGCTTACCAGCGCTTGGGTTTGATGTCTTACACTGGGTATTTTGTGTACAGCCAGAGGGAGAGAGAATAAACTCTTTACTTTTGAAAGATAGGCCCTTGTATGTATTAAATTTAGTTCTAATGTTTGGTTGTGTTTCGTGCTGTCAGCTGCAATCATGTTCTT